GTATAGGGAAATATCAAGAAAAGTTGTCGGGCAATTGTTGGAGATTCCAAAAATAATATTATATACAGAGTGTTCCATTTGAAAAATCAAAGTTGCTACTGCTTTCTAATAGAAGCGGCAACACCGCATTGTCGAAAATATTTTAGTTGGCTAGAGAATGTCCGAATATGCCCTCCATTAAATTTTCAAAGTGATCCGTTGTCTTGTTCACCAGAAACGTCTAATGTGCCATCCACCGTGAATCAGCCTGTATAGGCAGGATACAATGGCTGGAACTACAATTAGGCGCTTTATTATTTTTCGTGACACTACTACTGTTGTTCTACCCGTCATCGCTGTGTCCCATCTGTACAAATGTCCATACAACCGTTCCATCTGAGATTATTTTCTTCAAATATTATATTTATTTCTTTGAAAATTCTTCTCCGGCAATGTTTATGTGCAGCGGTAAACACATAAGAATGTTTTCAAAAGAACTTTCATATGGATATCTCACGATAACCAGCAAGATAGCTAGACCAGCGACTTCAGTCGACTCATCCATTAACAAGACGAATCGTGTTTTTATAGACTAATTCTTGTTTGACGAAGCTTGCGATATCATGAATTCTTTGTGGAACAGTATCGTTCGATAGCGGTACAGTAGAAAGATGCTTTGCAGATTTTTCAGCGAGAATACATTTTGTTATGTCTTACACACATGCTTTTATTAGATTCTCAGCGATAGTTTGCGCTTCACCTGCATGTGCAATGCGATAGTTAACTAATATGATGCCTCTGTAGCTTTTCCATTGATAGTTTGGGTAACATGCATCATAGTTTTTTTGACTTTCCAATAACTGTTATTTTTACGCACAAAAAATTCTTTATTCTTGGATTCAGACCCGAGGTGTACACAGGGCCGTCTTTAACCTATTGGAGGCCCTGGGCATAATAGGATAATGGGGCCCCTATGACTTTGACAGAACACTATTTTGTTAGAATAGACAAAGAAAGTAGATAAACAAGGTTAAATATTTATTTTTATTAACAATCACATGAAACGAATAGATAAATGTACCTAATATAGTCCACAAAAGTAACTTAGCGGTATTTGCGAATAGGACGATTATAATGACCGTAAAATGGGCGAAGCGCGCGGTAAGTTGCCCGAACACAACATTCATCTTGACAAAACAATTTTATTATAGATACGTGTTGTTGAATGATATACAGTGATTTCCTTTAATGTCCCGCCCCCTTTTATCTTTTGAACGGATCAACTCAAAAAATTGAAATTTGGGATGATGGAATTAATGCAAGAATACTTTATTTTAAAGTAAAATTAACAGATGAACCTTTCGAAATGGCGACTGGGCGCCATCTGGGTAAAAATTGAATAGAAATGGGGGTCTTGTGACACATATTTTCAAAGTTCCTGACAAATGCTTCACAACCCTAGAATATAATGTCAATATCTTCAACTACAACAAAATGTTGGAACTTTAAATAATTGCCTGAATACATTGACATTCAACTATATAATATGAGGTAATAAGCTTGAGGTCAGTTCAGAAGATGCTTGAACTTCTTGACATATGAACAGCCTATCCGATATTTTACGTCGAACATTTGCGAACACAGTAACGTCAATATGTCTACAAATATTTATTATTCTCTGCCGTATACCCAATATTGAAGCAGGTTCAGTTTTGTTCAGCTTTTGCTCTAAATGACCCCGTGAAAAAAGTCCAAAGGTGTCAACTCTGGCGAGCGGGCTTGCCATTCTGTAGGACCTCGACGGCCAATCTAACGACCGGGGAAAGTAGTATCCAAATAGTTTCTTACTCGTCTGGAGTGATGTGGTTGTGCTCCATCTTCTTGGAATACAATATCCATATCGAATTCATTAGGATTCGCGTCAACGATTTCAGTGATGAGAGGGTCAACAGTAGTTTACAGTATACTCAAACACAGTTCCCCTGTTTAATTTTGATCAATAAATAGAGGTCCTGCAATATGGTTTCCCAATATTTCTGCCCAAACGTTAACTTTATCTGGATATTGGGTATGTGTTTCCCGGAAAACGTGAGAGTTGGTATCATTCCAATAACGGCAATTTTGTCAGTGAACATTGCCGTTTGAAGAAATGTACATTCGCCACTAAAAAAAATATTGTAGAGATAAGTAGGATGCCTTGCAATTGTTTCCGTCATGATTTCGCAGAATTCTGTTCGTCGATCAGGGTCATCTTCAGTTAATTGGTGTACCATTTTAATTTTGTATGGATAATACCTATTCATCTTCAATAGTCTCCACACAGTAGAAGGAGACACCTCACAAACATTCGCGACGGAATAAGTAGAGTGTTCAGGATCTACTACCCTCTTACCAATTATTTGCACTTGCTGTTCTTCCGGAATGAACGGATGACCTGGGGGCTCTTTGTTATGTACACTACCAGTAGTTGTGTTCACGATCTCGTGAAAGTTACGCGTCGCACCGTAAATCTAAATTCTAACTGATCGATGATGTTCATTGTCGTACTGACATTTTTTGGCGTTTTTATAAACAAAAAATATCTTAACAAACCTTATCGGGTTGTTGGAATTGTCATATATGGCAGATAAAAAGGAATATTTCTAAAATATCGATATTAATGTGTTTGTCTTCAGGAAATTATTAAATGTTCCGCCATTTTGTAGTAGGTGGAAATATTGACTCATAGTCTAGGGTTGTGAAGTATCCACCAGAAGCTTTAAAATGATGTGTCACAAGACCCCCCTTTCTATTTAATTTTTTTCCCCAGATGCACCCAGTCGCCATCTTGAAAGTTTCATCTGTCAATCCCACTTCAAAATAAAGTATTCATGCATTCATTTCATCATCTCAAATTTAAATTTTTTGAGTTGACCCGTTCAAAAAATAAAGGAGGGGTGAACATTAAAGAAATGCACTGTATACGTTCATGGTGATTTAGCAAAACAGACTGAATAAATGACAAGTAATTTGACGGATGTAGCTTCAACAAAATGGCCGTTATCAATTGTCAAATTGTCTACCTCTGTATGTAGAGGTAACCTCGTTCCTTTCCTCCATCAGTTCTACTCCAATTCCACTGTCGTCGTCTGTAGTTTATATTCAGTTACTTCAGATCAGATCGGACCTGGTGAATTCATTTTTTTTTCATCTTGATTCTGATCTATTCTCTAGTAATTTATTGTCGTTATTCATTCTCACAGATGTACTGTCTTCTACGATTTTGTTGGGAAATAACATAATTTTTGATTAAGTTTCAGATTTTTCCCTCTCATTGTTTTCATCGTGAACCTAACCTTGCTTTAGAAACTTTCCTTCATTTGGAAAGACGATCAAGGTCATAGTTGTTCCTGTATAAATTGATTTCGAATAACTCAGTTTTGGTTGGTCAAGTGATGTTTCTTTCATGCGATTGTGAACATTGTGTTGTAGAATATTTTGTTTGTTAAAATTTCCAGCATATTAATGAACTGGTCATTCGAAAGATTCCTCAACGTCCTACATATCAAAATTATTCACATGAGTCGGATAGTTGATATGAAAAAATAGTCATTGTTATATCAGCTGTTATAAATATTAATGGTCAAATTGTTCACAACTGAATTATTTTTTCGAACGTTAGTGGTTTGTTAGCAAATGTGAAACGAGAATGTCGGAGCAAGTGGTGGTACGTAATAGTTTATTGTTTTTCTTTAGAGCGGCAATGCAAATATTTCTGGATTGATACTTTGATGATGAGATCAATGATAATTATTTTTCATTACTGAAAGTGATGCAACAAGACCTTCATAATTATTCTTCAATTTTCAAAATCAGGAATTTCGAAAAAATTGTACAGCCAAAAGCGTCCGTCGCCGGCCAGCGCTTGCCAGCATCAACTTGTCCAAAAGTGCTTGGGAAGTTTCAGTCTTTCTGTTTTGCTATTCCATCAGGCAGGCTCTAGAATATCCAGAAGTTCTGAAAGTTTGCCTGGAGTCATTCGGAAATACTGGAAACAATGAGATGGACTCACAATATTTTTGTTATGACTATTTTCTTCTACATTCAATAATGCAGCCACTATAATGACGACTTCTTCGTCAGAACTGCTAGTGATAGACATGTTTCTGTCACTGCTCGATGTCAAGTAAAATTCCCCTAAAATCGAACAAACAGCACCTTCATTGTGCTCACTTGTCTGGCACCAGCTCTAACTTGGATGTTTTGGCTTGGCAGATCCTATTTATATTTTTTTCTGAAATCGTTTTTACAAATGATCATCGGTGGTAATCTCTTCGTTAACTTCGCTGCTTCATCAGGAACCCAGTATACTCGTATTATTGTTTTTTCTTTCTATTTAAATGCAATTTCACAGGTCAATGTACATTTTCGCGAACAAAAAGGAATATTATAGCCTAATGAAGATCTGAAGGAAATTTTATCCTGGAGTGACAGTAACTGAGTAACTTAGAATTTGGTAAAAAAAATTAGCTATCAATTTGCTCTGAAGTGGTAATGGTGGCAGAATCCTATTAAATATTTTCGAAATACACGAATCCCCTACAATTGTTTCAAAATGTCTTTGATCATTTCATGATAACTCACTATTCACTATGCACTATGCACAAACTCAGTGTATGGAGGAAGAAAACTGATCCTTCTCCACGAAAAAATATGTGAAACAGTTAGTTTTATCAAATGTGATAAATATAATTTTATGTTTGTTGAGAAAGAATTTGAATTTTCATTGATTTACTGTTGAGTTTATGATGTATACATGTTATGCCTTTATCGATCACCATTATGTAATGAATATGCTTTTCTAGAGCGACTAGAAATGCTGTGATTGCAAATCCCTTCCAGGGCACTTATTATAGTTACGGGTGACTTCAACATAAATTTTGAAAGTAAGCTCTCTAGAGTAACTTTAGAACTAGAAAACATGCTGACAACATTCGATTTCACAATGCATGTTGATTCTTCTACACGTATTTCTAAATACTCAAGTACTATTCTTGACTAAAATATATTTTCAAATACCTGAAAAATCAGCTGTGAAGTGCTGGACTCTCTGACTATGAGTCTGTTTTGTTTAACTCCCAAAGAGGTCAAAAATTATCGAGGCCAAAGAAGCCTTTTGGAGGAATCTACAGCAAAAAAATTTTGATACTTTTGTAGATATTTGTAATGATGCAAAGCGGAATGATTTACATCATCCAAATGATGACTCATTGAGTAGGTTTCATGAAACTCTCTCGAATAATTTTAATACTGCGATTCCTATTATCAGAATTAAATCTAAAATTAGAAAACCATGGATCACAAAGGGCATTACGGTATCAGCTGAAAATGTAGGATCCCTATATTTAATTCGCAAATATTTAAGTAACAATGAAGGCTTCAACTCCCTATATAATAGGTAAAAACACATTTATAGAAGAACTATGAGGACTGCAAAACAACTTCATTATATGAAAAAAATGGAAAAGTCTGCAAATAAACCAAAAGAAAGGTGGGCAATCATCAATAACCTCTCAGGGGAAAAATGATATTGCTCCTACGAAAACTGACCTAAAATCTGTTTGTATTAACGAATATTACTGCACTGTGACACATAATTTAACCAAAGATATAAAATCCAATATTAATTCTTTGACTTTTCTTAAAGACAACTCAGTTTCAGAGACGTTTTTTTCATGTCTACAGATGTTATGGAAATTGAAAATTTAGACTCAGCTGGTTGAGATGACATGAGCATAAAAGTATTTATCAAGTTGCCCAACTCTGCTATCACCGCTTTGGTGACGGCTATAAACACAAGCTTCATAACGGGTGTATTTTCGGCATGTTTAAAAACAGCCATTGTTATTCCTTTGCACAAAGGAGGCGACACTAACAATCCTGCCAACTTTAGGCCTGTTTCTATGCTACCTACCCTTGCTGAAATCATAAAAAAAAACTTATGATGTTTGTGAATAAGCATAATATTATTAGTAGCAGTCAATTTGGGTTTCAGAGTTTGAAAAACACAGAAGGTGCTATGTTTCATCTAATGGAAAACGTTTATCTCAATTTGAATAATCGTGAAATAGCAACGGCAGTTTTTTGCGATCTTTCAAAAGCTTTCGATTGTGTGGATCATGAAATTCTGCTGCAAAAACTAAAAGTGTAATGCTTTAGAGATAAATCTTTGAAATGGTTCAGATCATACCTGTCAGAACGTATTTCCGTACAACATATCCCATCTCCAGACAGCTACAAGGATCGGTTCTAGGCTCAATTATCTTCTTGTTATCTACTAACGGCCTAACCCGCATCAATATAACCGCAGAAATAACCCAATTCGCTGATGACACTACATTATTTTGGCATTGCAAGAATGGAAGGGAATTGCATGATTTGATTAGCATGGATATTATAAAAATAAAAGACTGGTGTGAAGCTAATCTCTTGTCATTTGATATCTCAAAATCTAGCATCATCACCCTCGAGTGCTCCACACTGGATATTTACCTGGGTATTCAATAGAAAACAAAACGTCAGCAAAATTTCTGGAATAACAAATTGATAAAATTTGGATTTCGAAGGTCAGATAAATAACCTATGTAAAAAAATTCCATCAGGGTGCTTTGCAGTCAGAGTATCAGCAAACGAATTGGACACTAATATGGCAAAAAATGTGTATTTTGCTCTCATTGATTCCCATTTGAGATACAGTATCTGTTTTTGGGGAACGTGTTGCCAATAAATGTTTGATAGGGTTTGATAGGGGTTTGTACTACAAAAAAGAGGAGTTATGAATATGTGAAGAGTTGGATTCAGGGATTCCTGTCGACCTTTATTCAGAAGGCATGAAATCTTGACTTTGCTTTCCATACTTATATTGGAAATGGTATGTCTGATGTCAAAAAAATATAGGACGGAAATTTTCATTTCACCACGACGAAATACCAGAAATAGGCTCTATATAGGTTTACCGATTCCAATATCATCAAAAATTGAGAGATCTTTCATATATAATGGAAAAAAATGTTTAACCATTTGCTAATGGAGATCAAAGGCATAACATGTACTACTAAATTAAGAAAGTCTGTAAAAAAGCTTCTGATTTCAAAGGCCTATTATTCGTTAGATGAGTTGTATTCAGACATAAATTTGAATTATATAAACAATAAATTTTTATTATTGTATTCAGTACCCACTGGTATTTGAACTATGTGACTTTTTCAACTTTTTGTTTGATGTTTACATTTGGCTCTGAACTGTATTGAAAATGTTTACGAAGTAGACACTCACTTTTATTTTCTATGCATTCACTTTTATATTTTCATGCTTTATAGTTTTTATATTCTTATATTTACATTTATGTGTTGCATGAGAATATTCATTATTATTATAATTCATTTCAATATGTAGCATATATATATTATTACTTTCTGATTACTTTTCCAACCCAAATTTCTGAAATCAAGTACTACTTTTAATTTGTATAACTTATAATCTTTAAATTGATAACACTTCGACAATGATATTTTATCTTCAATATCTTTTAAGTTGTGTATCTTATATTCAATTTAATAAGGTACATTTTGATTTCATTTGATACATTCATTAAAAATGTATAACGCATTAATGGGGATTTTCTGTTGACGTGAGTGAATGAAATTCAACGAAACTGTTTTGTCATGATTTCTGATTTATTCACCAAATTGATTTCAAAACACAAGCACTACTGGATGGAATCCAGCAACTTCGGGGTATGTTTGGGGGCAGAGCACCATACACGAGAACAATACTCCAAAGAAGGTCTGATCTGAGCTTTATAAAACATTAAAAGTTGCTGAGGTGTGTACAGTTTTTTGGTTCCAAACAGTGTTTCAAGCTTTTGAGGAGCAGCCTTTGCAATTCCAGCGACATGATTGTGCCAAGACATATTGGTGTCTTTTAACCCCCCAACAAACTTATCGAAGCAGAAAGCGGAATTGTTTGACCTGACATTATTATATCCAGTTCGGAGACATTCATCTTCTTGGAGAAAACCGATGCCTGGGTTTTTGTGGCATTGAGTTGAACCTGGTTACTTTCACCTCAATCCGAAATTACTCCTATATCATCATTAAGATATGCATCCTTCTGCTGATGGTGAAGATGTACCGCCGTAGACGATGTCCTGGAATCCAATGGAATGACGAGACAAGTATGCTCTCACCAGCAAAGCACTATATTGGACTCTTGGTTTTTTCCAATAAGTCGTTGATATACAATAAAAAGAGGGTTGGAAACAATATGGATCCTTGGGGAACACTAGCGTTGATGGTGAAAGAATTCGAGAGATATCCATCGACGGCAATTTGCTGGGAACGTTCTTTCAGGAAGCTGAAGAGTCATACACAAAAATGATCCGACAAAAAAAAGTATCGAAGTTTGGCCAGCAAACCCTCATGCCACACACTCAAAAGTTTCTCGATTGCGTTATTCCAAATATGGGTGACATACGATCTTTGAGCCAATCGATATTGTGGACATTGAAGTCACGAATATGGAAATTTTGGCACTGGGATAACTGATTTGGTCTATCTGCATCTGCAGATAGACCAAAATAGTATTCCATAATTTCATTCATGATGTATATTGATCTTCATCTCAGTGGCATTGAACAACATGAATATGTGTTATGTTGGATACTTTTCTTTAAGCTAACTAGAAAACGTGTTTCTAAATGAATGAAACTCAGTATTTTTGCTGGTAAACTGTACACGCTACAAAAACATTGTCTACAAATATTTGACGATGAAAGTTAAAAGAAATCCAAAATAATGCAATTTGAAATAGATATCGACTAAATCATCATGTATTATTCCATTCGATGGATATAATTTAGGTTATGACGTTTGTGATTGTTCGTGCATGAATAATTGTTATGTCGTAATAGAAGTTAACTGAGCAATAATCATCACAGTCTCATTAACAATTACGCAAGTGAGAAGATGGACACTTTCACAACGAATGCCAAATGCATTGTGAATCAATCCACTGCAAACAAGGATGAAAAATAATCGCAAGTGCGGAGTGTTGAGTTCAGACTTGCAAGGCTTACTGTTTATGCAGTTGATATCCTGTTTTAGCACTTAAGCTAATGTTCTGCTGATTGAGAGTGGGAATCTACTGATGATTCGAATTACTTCCATGAAAATTCCACAACTGTAATTTTGAACCAATCAAAATGCGTTATTTGGACAAATCATCATGGCAATGGAGGTATTTTAGTGGACATTTTTTCTCGTGGGATACCCAACAGCGAATTATACTGAAAATTTTTTGACGTTTACAATAACAGACCATTTTCGACAGATTGGTTTTCACTTGTTTACATAATATTTAGTTTTGATACATTTCAATTACAAAGCTAAGATGTTTTCTATATTCTTCCGACACCTCCTCTCTTCTTAATGGCGAAAATGCAGTACTTTGAATGTTTTCAATTAGGTGTCTATGTCTTATGTGAAATTGAAGAATATACTATTTTCTATCTTGAATTGGCATTTTCATGCAACTACATTGAGTAGAAATTACTAATTTAAAAGCCTTAATAATTGATGCCAAAGCTATGACGCGCTGTGAATCTGTTTATGCAGCTTCCCGAAAAACCTCTAAATTATAATTTTCTATCACTTGTAGCAAGCTCAAGTAAATATGAATTGGAAGAATATTATAATTTTCCTCCATAAATGGTACTTTTGAGCTACAACAATCAGTATAAATCAACAGTTATAATTTGAACTCTAGTGGTATTACTGGTGATGATTATTGAATCACTTTTATTCAATCAATCTATTGTGTTTTCATTATCAATTTTTATTATTCGCCGGTTGAGCTGATTAAAAATGATTATGAAGCTCTGAGAGTAACATATTTTCGTAATGCCATATTTTTTTTTTTTAGATTTCTATGGAAGGAGAATCTTATTCCTTCGTCAGTTCTGCAATCACATTCATTCTCTGTTTAACGGCGATATTGACAGCTTATCACTACTGGTTCAAAAATTTGAGGCATGTCAAATTGACGGACAATATACCCAGTCCGAGAACTCTGCCAATTTTGGGACATATTCATATGGGCATCGGAAAGTCACCTACAGGTAATTAGGTATTATTTTGTATTTGTGTTCAGCTATCTTGATTCATTCAGTATGAATGTGCCTGAAAAATCTACTTCTGCCTATCAACGCTTTTCATGAGTAGATGAAGCAATCATTCATCACACAGAAACAGTTTGTCCTAAAACATTTTTAGCAAATAATAGATTTTCTTCGCCTCAAAATCCCACAGAAAGTTTTATTTCTCACGTTGTTTTCTGTATCAAAAATAAAAAATAAATTCTTTGTTATGTGAATTTTGTCCGATTTTGAGATCTAGTTCCGTTCAGATGTTACAAGTGAGGAACTTCTGATTGTATAATGAAAATTTATAGATATTTTCAACAGATACCGATAGGAATTAGAAGCGTCACTAATGGTTAACCAAACACGTCAAATTTTGACATCTGTCATTGTCAAGAAGTCGACACGAAATGATACCACAAAAAATTGAAGGAAAACGACTGTAAATCTATTGTTATTTTGGAAGATATTGATTTTTTCATTTTGGATTCACTGGAATACAAATTCGTTGGAAGACATTGTGAATCATAATGGAGTTTTCAGCATGTGATATGTTTTACGAATGTGTCGTGAAAATCCAATTTTCTTTGAATTATTTCGGTTGATAATGAAAAAAATACTGATGTATTGAATTTTAATTTCGAGCATTCGCAATAAACCGCAAGGGTTTATTGTGGCTTACACCTATTCATACTCGACTAAATGAACCCAGTTTTTTAACGAAGCCGATTATTGTGTAAGATGAGTTGTCTTTCAGGTCAGATTTTAAGAGTACAGCTCTGCCAAACTCTGAAAATCTGATTCGGCCCCCAGCCGGGTAAACACAAAGTATGTGCTTTGCTGTTTCATCATTTTCCAAACAGAGACGACACACACTGTCTTTCGACAGTCCGAGTTTCTGTATATGATGATTCAAATGACAGTAACATGTAGGAAGGCCTGTTAGACATCGTAGTTCATTCCTACTGTAAGTAGTCCAACAACCGTTTGGTATCGAGCTTCGAAGGGTGAATAAACGATTAAAGGGCGTATTTGTTGCACCTGAATGTAGTTTTTATTCTTCTGTTAGTTTCTGTAGCATACACCGATTACTTTTACTGAAAAAGTTATAATAACGAACATTTGCTATGTCCTTATAAACGCTTAAATATCTTCTGATATTTTTTCAATTAAAAAAAATGAAATTAGATATCTTTTGTTTTCAGATGTTTACGACTTGGTATATGACCTTTACCACAAACTTAATAGCGATATCGTGAAACTGTATTTTGGACCAAAGCTATACATTGGAATCTGCAGTGCGGAAGATGCAGAGGTATGTTTGCACGATTAGTACTGATGTTCCTTAACATTTTATCAGCATCTAGTTCATTCGCGGTTGACATGGATAAGAAACCCGTATAACACTCTTCTTAAAGACCATCTGGTATCTAATATCTGTAGAGTAGGGAAAGTGAGTGTAGACTCACAGCACTAAGGCCACATGTGAGCCGTTGTACATCCTCCCCAGGAGTTGTCCTACTAGGTCATCATCCCTCATGTCCTTTTCAGGAAGGTGAACAGGTCACCAGGAGACATCTCTTTTATATTGGCAGGTGTAGGCCAAGACTTGCCGAACACACACTCTCTTTGGCAACCTTGAGGTGTCTCACGGTGGCCTCCATGAAGCACGAAGCGATATTACTGCCGTCGCGCGGCTTCTTCAACCTTCTTGAGGTTCCCTCCGTGGAGGTGCACAAGTAAAGGCGCTTTCCTGCAGAAGCAGCCGGTTCCTTGAATTTGTTCAAGACGGAGCTCTTGGCGCCCGCCGCAGGAAGTGCCCTTGCTGTTGGAGGTGATCTGCTATGTCCAGCCTCATTCCAAGCGGTAGATTAGGGTGGACATTTGTGTTCATCCCCAGCCATCGCCCTAGATTGAGGTGAACACTTCTGTCCAGCCTCGGGATTGGTTTTTGTTGTTTCTGTTGTTCCATTCAGTATGTTCCCACGAGTAGCAAGAGAAGAGTTGGTCTCCTCTGGCAGAGCCCCGCATTACCAGATGTAGGATGATTACAACGAGGTTTCGCCCAATTCCCCAAGGGGATCGTTCGTGACCGCATATCACCCTGCGGCCATTCATCTGTCGGCATGATTCTTCACACCTTAGCTTGGGTAGGTTGGTCCACGGTGGCATGTTTTGCAAAGGCTTCTGGGGGGTTTTAGTTCCCCTCGTCCTAATTATTTTTGCCACTGACCAGGAGTCCGGCGACCCCGTCCATAAGGCCACATTGGCTTTCCGAACACGGCCATCCAGTCCCCTGACCGTTCCCGTATCCGCCACCTGGGGACGCGCCCGATATAAAGCTCAACTCACGGGCTTGAAGACCATTAGGCCTCGTGTACTGGAAAGGCACTGTTAATAACTCCCCGAGCCCCTTGAGGAGCTATTCGCTATAACATATCAACACCATCTAGATGACTCCTTTCGAGAAGATGGCATGTGCTGTTCTCCGAATAAAATTTAAAATCAAGTAGTAGTTTGAATATTATTCAAAATACTTTTACTTTGGATACTATTAAAAAAATCATTTCAAAGTTTGTTCAAACGGCGACGAATATCAAAATACATCTATGAACTTGAATGATGCGTAATATCCTGGAGAAATTTGAGTGGCACTTCCTGATGAATGAACCATTTCATCATAGAACTGAGAAATAATATTGATTCTATCATTTTTTTCCTAAAAGTTCAAAGGTCTATTACTCCCGTACTTGTTTCATGTTTGTGTTCTTTGAAAATATCACAAAGCATAATTTTCTGAAACGAATGACTTCATAAACATCCTGTATACTATGAGAGGATTGCCAAAAATAATTTTGTAATCAATTTGTTGTTTTAGTTAATATTGGGAAGTAGCGTCCATTTAGAAAAACCTCAGGAATACCGATTATTTGAACCTTGGTTAGGAGATGGATTACTTATAAGTAAAGGTGAGTAAGAAACTTCAATGAAAATCACATTTATGATCAAAATTTTCCAAGAGAAAAAGAAACGTTTACGGAAGCGCAGAAGGGCCACATATTTTTATTATTTGTTTTTTGGAAACTACGACTTTGAATCTCGAAATTTGGACTTTTATCTCGAAATTTCGACTTTTATCTGGAAATTTCGACTTTCATCTCGAAATTTCGACTTTAATCTCGTAATTTCGAAATTACGACTTTAAACTCGAATTTTTGACTTCAATCTCGAAATTTCGACTTTAATTTCATAATTACGAGATTAATCAGTGAATGATTTCCCCGCCTGTTGCTTTGTTTATTAGATGTAGCTGTTGGTAGTTAACAATCTTTTTCTTAGACGAAGGTTTCATACATGCACTTGAGCCAGGTTGAAATTAATCGGGTCCAAGGCACTTTGCAGTTTGGGTCGGATTTTTCCTGCACTGATGAGAGATAATACCTCGGAACCAGTCTGCAGGTGAAAATCTGTATCCTTATAGTAGGGAGGGTGAGTATAGGCCCACAACTTCTATATCGGCAGGTGTATGCCAAGACTCCCCGAACACTCCGGACACTCGCATAGGAAATGCCTGACAGTTTCATCTTCCTATTCACACATCCTGCATAGAGGTGTGTCCACTGACCCCATATTATGGAGGTGTTTCCTTAGTTGACAACGGCCAGTCAGAAATCCCACTGTTAAGCGTAGATTTTTCCTGGTCATCGCCAGATATTTTTTCGGCGCCAGCTTCCTAGGGTCGCATAGGGTGATCCTGGCAAGATTGCCTCCTTTGATTTCATCCTATGTCTTCAGGGATTGAACATTGGTGTAATGCTTGATTGGTTCCGTCATCAGGCCGTAGGTGCCACTGGGTCCTGAAATTCTTAGTCCAGCCGCTTCCTTGGCTGAAGAGTCGGCAATGCGATTACCTTTACTTATGTCGTGCCGTTTGATCCACCTACGAATAATGCTATGATCTACCGAGGCTTTGGCTAAATCTTGGTGACACTCTAGTGCTAGCCCCTGAGGTAACACGTTGTCTGTTCAAAGCTAATAGGGCTTGTCTGCTATCAGTGCAGATTGTTATGTTTTTGCCAGAAATTCCTTTCCTGGATATTTCTTTTGTGGCGATTGAGATACCAGCCAGTTCTATTTGGACCACGCTTGTATTTTTTTTCATTCACCACTTGATCCTTAGGCTCAGTGATCTGAAGTACCTACACTCCACATCCTGAGCCTTCTTTGGTTTTTGAGACGTCTGTATTTATGCATATTGCATTTGTAGCGCCTGACTCTGTGTTCTGTTTTATTTGTATATTGTAGTGTTTATAAAACAAAAACCTGTGTTCAATTGCATCACTGGTTGCCTGCAGCAGAGGTTGCGCAGTAAGCGCTTCTCGCCATAGGTTCATCCTCAATTGACCCATTCCTACTTTGAGGTTTCCACAAGCCGTGAGCAATCGTAACAAGGCCATTAACGCAACCTCCTTAACGTACAGGTCCAAAGGGGTCAAACTAGTAATTAATTCCATTGCCGCGGTTAGTATTGTTTTCATGGCTCCTGTGATATATTTGATATGATTTTTGAATGGTCATTGCTTGTAGAACTTTCGATCCCCATGCAATGGCTCCATACGTTAACATTGGTCTTAGTATTGCAGTGTAGATCCAGGTGACCACACGGAGTGAAACACCCCATTCGCGTCCCACTGTCCTCCAACGTTGCTCATAAGCCACATATGCTCTTTTTGCTTCACTCTGTAGGTGAGAGTTCCATGTTAGCTTCTTGTCGAGGATAGTACCAAGGTATTTCACCTCTTCAGAGAAGTTTCGTTTGCTTCTGAAAATTGCGGGAGGTTTTAAGCCCGATAAACTTCTTTTCCTGGTGGAAAGGACCATCTCGATTTTCTTGGGATTGATCGACAGTGAGTGTTCCTTACACCATGTTTCTAATAATTTGAGCCCACCCTGCGCTCTATCGCACAGTGTGTTCACAAATTTGCCGGTCTGCAAGATAACTATATCATCTGCATATTACGCAATTGTGTAGAATCCATTATTGTTGAGGTGATTAATCAGGGTATCCAAAACTATGTTCCAGAGAAGGGGTGATAAGACCTCTCCCTGTGGAAATCCCCTCATGACCAGTCCTCTTACTGTGCAGGTGAAGTACTCGGATAATTTCACTATGGTCCTACTGCTGGATAAACGAGAACCATCTGCTAGACTAACCTCTGTGAGGTATCTTGCATGAATGTCTGTCGGATATAATTCAATACCCAACGTGGTATTACCCGGGGAAGTAGTTGTTTTCCGGCAGGCATTTACCAGAACCTACTGTTTGGTAGTTGGCAGAGATGAATATTTCGAGATTTTCTTTCGAAATATTTATTATCTACTGATTGAAAATAATCAATATTTTGTAGACGCCAAAATTTTTTCCTGGCCACATGGTGCGTTCATTCCAATTTTTATTTCCAAAATTCAGTTTTTTTATTGAAAATTCAAGATTACTATTTATAATTTTTTCTTTGAATTAGAAATCAAAATTATGAATAAGTACCATTCCACAGTCGGAATTTCACATTCATTTTTGAGCCAGAAGTCGTTTTCAAATCAAAATTTGAAATCAAACTCCATTTCGAGTTGAATCCATGAACACTTTTCCGTATTGAATTGGATATGGAAAATCATTTGTTTTTTTTTAATTGAACATCTTAGCAGGAATTACAAATACATTCTTGGTTTTCCGAAGCACTTGTTTTCAGCCATTAAGACACGAAAATCTCCCACTCGAACGTATAGAAGTGTTTCTTTGTCATCACTTGAATATTTTATAATTTTCAGGTGAAAAATGGCGGTCGCATAGAAAAATGATTGCTCCCACATTCCACACATCTATTCTCAAATCCTTCATGCCAGTATTCAACAAGAACGCGAATAACTTGGTGGAGCAGTTTAAAAAAGAAAAGAAAGTTTTTGACGTTCATAATCAGATGAGTGCTGTTACAGTTGATACATTATTAGGTAAGTGAGTACTATTCAGGACAAATTATCGTTATCACGAATATTCACCTATTTAAATTCGTACAGAGGCGTTTCGTAGGTCGTGCGTAAAAATCGAAGATTTCCAAAAGCCAAATCAGTTGAATACTCGTACCTCATTAATAACTTTTGGGATTTGGCAATTCAGAGAGATTTCTTGGTACTTGTGATGCACTGTTTGGAACATTTGGTGTAGTAATGAATATTACTGGAGTTTTTTCCCAACACCAAACCGTTATGTAAGACCTCGGTATGTGTTTCAATCACCAAGTGATTGATCAAACTGAGTTTGACCTTCCTCTTGGAGGTGATCGCTTGGTGATCGAAACACGTGTCGATGTGTCAAAATAACGGTTTGGTGTTGGAAAAAACTCCTGTAATATAGATTTTCAGTAATATAGATTTCTGAAATGTTACAGATACCTTAGGTTCTCGTGATAATGACAGATCAATTGAATTCCCTCATTTTGAATCTAATATGGTGGATGCCACACGATACCAATTCATCATTTCCATGGTAACCCCTATGACATGGGTATCAAATAGAAGGATTTGATAAGTGGACTACGAAAAGCATAGTGACATTATTTTGAATCGAATTAGGCAGACACCGCAAAATGGCGGTTAACAATTTCCATATCTGGATATCAAACGGATTGAAAAAGTGGAACACGATATGCAAAGTGAAGTCATTTTAAATCAATCATTGTGGAGCTAGACAAATCGAAATTTACAGAAATGGCACTGGCACTGATGATGAATTATTGGCAATGCATGACTTGAAACTTGAAATTTGAAAAGCTTCAAATAAGATAGGGCTAAAAATATTTTTGAACAATGACTTTCATCTGATATACTGACAGAAATAAAATAATTTCTGCTCAGATAAAACAGAGAACACGAGATTACAGGAAAATCCTCAAGACGTTCTTAAAGCGGTGCTTGTGCGAAAGCAGCGATTCATATTGGATTTTAATCGTTGGAGATCAATTCCATTTGGGAAAACGTTCTCAGGAAGTTTATTCTACATGATTATTTCTAGTAAATTCTAGGGTATTGATGACACCTAGCTACTTACTGAACATATAATAATGATAATTTCCAAGTCAGAAGTTGGGGCGATTATTTCCGAATTATAAGCATTCGTTTTCGATATTCTTGAAGAATACATGGATCGGATTGTCTTTGTGTACCTGTAGATGTAAAATAATCTCTGCGGCTTTGATGTAGTCATTTCGTTGTGCGTCAAGTTCATCGGCAGCTTGGACATTTACTTCAAAGAGAAATGATTCACAATTATTTTTCATGATCACAGACTATCCGAACTTCTGATGACTTTACATGAAGAGCCTCCAAACACAACTGACCAGACGGTATAGTGGAGCGGGTTTGCCAGATTTGTATCAACAATATCTTGTTGGGTACCACAAGGCATCCGAGCAATTGCATTCACCTTACATATTGTATGCGATGTTGTATCAAATGCTTTGCGTTAATCGATCCAGGTCATAGAGATTTCACGGTTATACTGTATCGAGTTTTACGTTACACATCTATCGATGAGCAGGTTCTCTTTGTATCCAGTACTCCTCTTTTCGACCCTCTAGGCTCAATACCCGTTCGAATACTCGCTCAACTGCGGTGAGTATTCGTGTGTACGAGAGGCTCGTAAACAATTCTTAACACGAAAACGAACATTTTATCGGTCAGGAATCCTTAGGAAATAAGAACGGTCCGACCCTCGATAAACCAATCCGGAATAAGCAGTTCATTGAGCTCAGGCTGTCGAAGCTCTCTACAGTAAGCTCCGAACTACACTGGGGCTGGAGTATCTGAGTTGAGTGGCTGCGGGTGTTCATAAATGTCCTTCCAGAAGAATTCTCCTGATCGGTGGTCGGCGGATTATTCACAACAAGGGGAGACTTCTGGAATGAGTGGAAATATTACTCTCGTAACTTGGAAGTGTTAATAAATGTTCTTCCAGAAGGATTCCACTGATCAGTGGTCGGCGGATTATTCACAACAAGGGGAGACTCCTGGAATGAGTGGAAAGGTTACTCTCGTAACTTGAGGATTTCCGCAATGCTGTTCGCTTGCTTCAATAGTGACTTTCAGCGGCCATTAGCATTCGTATCTTGTCAAGGCAGTGCTGTTTGGTTGTCAGAGTAATAATGATAATTATAACCAATATTACTGGAGTTATATCTGAACACCAAATCGTTATTTTTAACAACCAAGCACATGTCTCAATCACCAAGTAATCACCTTCAAGAGGGAGATTAGACTAAATCTACATACAATGTTGTCCTTGTTTATACCATAGATACCTTTGCTACGTTTTTGCGTCTCAATTGTCTTAAAATTGATTTCACAACGTTGCCTTATCTACTAGTCAGGTGAATCTGATAACTGAAATATGCTATAAGTGAAACTATTATGTATTGGTCCAACATGATATTATATTGAATTCTTTCAAGCTCTCACAAGCATCTAGATGCCTGTTGTAGTTAACTTGTCCAATCAATCTTGATCAACCGAAGTCTATGGAATGGTTTTGTTGCAAAACATGATGGCCGACTGCTGATTTTTTTCTGGCTTCCATATTTTGGGTGTGCTAAGTGTTCCTTATGTCGTATTTCAATGGATCTTTTAGTCTGTCTTGAATATTTTGCTACGCAGTCCTTATATTTGATTTCGTAAATTCCAGACTTTCCTGAATTCTCGCCTTTGTCCTTTGGATTTCATAAGAGACTCTGTAGTCCTACCTACCAACCTGAACTTTTTCTTTCTCATTATATGATCTACAATACCCCTCGAGAAACCGTTAGTGGCTGCTATTTTCTGTATTGTACGTTTTTCATTTGTGAACCTCCATGTGTGAGAGGAAACGTCAAAAGACGATGCACTAGGGAATTAATTCAACCCAGGACGCTTGTGCTGTCCACAGTGATTTGGACAAGAATATACCTGATTCAATAGAAAAAATTGCGACGAAATCGAAGAAATCGAAGATTTAATGGTAACCCAGTTACCAACCCAAATAGAAAATGAAACCTAAAAAAAGTCTAATCGGACGAATACAGAATTTTTGTTCAAATATCAATTTTAGAAAATTTGGCTCAACACCGTTTTTAGTTCAACCAGAACAGTCATTTGTTGAAAGATGTTCATTTAAAGCACCTTCAAAACTGAAATTGTTGGCTGCCATATCACGAAATCAAATTATGTGACCGCTTTCAATTTCAGGAGATTCACTTAGATATATTGAAAACTGTCATCGAACCACTGACAACAGAAATTTCAGAACAATGATCCTACTTTTTACATTGATAATTCACAATTTTTTATAAATATATGGTGAGTTAGCACCAGGCATTTGAAGTCATATATCTGGCACACTCATTTATATGATCAGAAGAGATCCATTTGTGTGGCCCGCTAGTTTTCCTGAATTGAGTCTATACTTAATTTTTTTTTGATAAAGTCTAGAAGTAAATATTCGGCAACTCATTAAAATATTTTTGCCGATACTCAACAATAAATCATAGCTAAATGACAAACAATAACTCCGAACATATCTGACGAAATTAGTATCAGATTTGAGAAAAACGTGTATTATTGAAACAACAAACCTTGATCCAAAACTCATTGCACGTAAATATTCAAACAGTTTTTATATTTCGCATAACAAATAAATTATTCCGTGCATAATTGTAAATTTCCATATTATTACCAATTTGCAATTTTCATATTTGACGAAAGTCAACTATTAGGTACTTGCAAAAAATGGTTAAAAAATGTTACTATATTTGCATATAATGTCTATTTAACACGCCGTGTACTGATGATTCTCGAAAATCAGATTATAATGGATTAATTTATTCAAAATTCATTTCAGAAACATCCATGGGTGTTGTCAAAACTGACGAAGACAATACTGGTTTCGATTATGCTATGGCAGTAATGGAGTGAGTATATGATTCTCAAAAAGAGCATGACAATTAAACTCAACTCAATACCTATCCTTCAGGTTAATTTTGTTTGACAGACTATTTTGAAGAAAGCAGCACAATTTTCAGTCCAAGTATTTCTTGTAGCCTTTGAAAGTGCGATATTTCTATTTTCATTATAAAGCCAACTGTTTATTATTACTAGTTTGTTGTTTGAAGAAATATTCAAAACACGCTCATTTCTCATGAAGTATGGAATGCAAAACAAAATTTGAATATATTCATATTGATTTAATTGTAACTTTTCTTAAAATTTGCATATTTTGCATTTATGAAAATATTAGATTATTGATAATAATGACATTGGTTAGTGGAAAAATTTTGCTAACCATGCCATATGGAGAAATTTATTTCTTTGAAAATTTTTCCCGTGGAAACACACCATAACACTCAAATAATCTTGATTCGAAACTTAGCCAATTAACAAATATGGAAGTCTCATCTACGCCGAAAAGAAATAAAGGTTGTGGTTCTGACGGGTGCCCTATAATATTTCTATTACTGGACTATGAGCAAACTCATCACTTATTCTTCAATAGATGTCTGAATGCAAGCCAGTTTTTAAATTTCGGGAAAACTGCACAGGTTGTATCTATACAGGGTGTCTATTTTGAAAGCTTTCCATCCTCAATATTTTCCTTCCAGGAATCAAAAGAACAGGTCAATTTCATTATCAAGGGGGACACTTTCAAGGACTATTTGTAGCCCTCGTGTTTCAACCCCCTAGGTGGGGTAGTCAAGTGGCACATCATTTTGATGGCGTTCAATTCTGCTTCCAATGGTACCCTACCATATTATTTTTTGATGAGCATTTTCCCAAAAATAGCGATCTAAACTAACACAAGTATTCAGACACGGAACTGAAAGGAAAATCCCTTTAGAAACACTCACTATAAACTACTCACATATAAACATTGAATTACACGAAAGAAAAAATTTTTCAAAACAACTCCTTTCAAATGAACATTGATTATACAAAAAACACTTTTTCTTATTCAGGTAATACTCCAGTTTTGTGTCTGAAAGTAACTTCTTTTACATGATCTCCACATCTTTGTGAAGAGGTCATTTTGAAATAAATTGTTTTCTTCTTTCCTTTGGTGGAGTCCTACTTTTTTTGTATAAAAATGAAGAGGTAAAAAGCCATTCATGAGAAAATGATCAATTCAAAAACGCATCCATTAGTTGCTTCATAGTTGATGAAGACCTAAATGGTGCTATTGGGAGTGAATCTAGTCCCTGGGGTTTCGTGGTATCAACTAAACACAAGATACTCTCAAAATTTTTGTAGAAACAAATGATATTGAATTTCACAGGTAATCAAAAGAAAAAAAGAAGATTACATGGCACGGAAGAAATCAGGTGAAACGAGTCTGTACATGAGAGCCGTCAAAACTGGGGATTACGAAGATAATCAAGGCAGCCAAGATATTATGACCAACTATATCAAAGACGATTTGGATGAAAACGACGACAACGATGTTGGTGAGCTATTTGAAATCTATATAGTTTCCTCCTGCATACTATATTATCATCAGAACTTCAACTCATCACTTGGAAAAATACTAACAATAGTTGAGTATAGTATGAACATATCTTCAGATTAATCATTATTCAGCGGGTAAACTATTAATGCAAACTAGCAAATTGTGAAATGAAATTTGCCTAACTATATCAACATAGTAGAACATGGTAGAACAAACCAGTAGTGTTCTACACTGAAGTTTTGAACTTCGCCTTTTATATGTTATATATTTTTTTTTCACCGTAGTGTGCGCTGGTCAGGTCCTATTCCCCGAAGCCCAGATACATTTGGGGCTTCGGGGGATTATCGTAGTGTGCGCTGGTCAGGCCCTATCCCCCTATATTTACTGCCTGATAATTGAAGGTGAACACATATAATGGATTTTTCAGAAATCGCAGCTCGTCAACCACCATTGAATCTTTTTTTCAGTTGGTTAGCCTAAGAAGCTGAAAGTTAATTGAGTAAGTGAGAGACAGTGAACACATGCCCTACACGGTAGCTTCATCAGTTAGACTGGGGGCTACCGTGTGGTGAAATGAGTCTTGGATAGTGTGTGAAAATTGTTTGATGGTCATCATAGTATTTTGATTTATTTTTATCAAGTAAGGAGTCAGCATTTTCATAATATGTCAATATTTTTGTCGAAGAATGATGTATTTGTTGAAGTTGTTGGTTTCAAAAATCAACTGATGTTTTTTTAAGATGTATAGGTGAAAAGAAACGGTTGGCGTTTTTGGACTTTATGATTGAAGCAAGTCAAACAGGAAATAATATTACCGATGAAGAAATCAAAGAAGAGGTTGATACAATTATGTTCGAGGTGAGTGCTTGGGAATTACTTCAATTTCCTATATTTTTTAGTGATGGTTTATTAATTATTCAAATATTTTTCATTCACGAATAGAGAACGAAGAATTCCAATGAACGAAAAACGTGAACTAACCTATACTACAATAAACCGTTATTAGTTTCTCATCCAATTCTAGCACAAGCAGATTATTATTTTCCTCTATAGTAAGTTTTCGAAAAAAAAAACTCGCCCTTCATTTTGTGAAAATCAATATCAATTCGAATCGTAGCATTAAATTCTACGAAACAATTGAAAATCAATGTAGTTACGAATACAAAGTCAAACTCTGTATTTTCTAGGATCTTTTAATGCAATAATATTTCTGAGAATTCGGTGCCTACTATTATGGATTAGTTCATTCAACAAAGCTGGAAGTCAAAATGATATGTACAAGTACTGACCAATTTCTGTCATCAATAATTTTCCTAAACTATTCGAACAATCTGTAAAAAATCGAATGATAGATTTCTTTAGATTTTTAGATTTATTCTTTCTGGTTTATGAACAAATTGGATAAGTCTTTGAAATGTCTTGCAATATTTATGGACTTGACGAAGGATTTCGATACTGTGTCGAATGAAATCCTACTTCAAAAATTGTGTAATTATGGTATTAGAGGTCATGCTTTTGAAATGATGCAGGAATGAACAAAATAACGAACACAAACTGTAGAAATTGGTAGCAATCTCAGTGCAACATTACAAACCAATGTGGGTATACCTCAGGGAATAGTACTTAACCTGATCCTTTTTCTTACTTACATGAACGCAATAACGCAGAATAATAAATTTGATGGTTCAAAATGTGTTATGCTAATGATACGGCTATGATCTTTACTGGTGGAAGTTGGGCGGAACTTATGAAGCTAATCTGAGAAAACTCATTCGCTGGCTGAATAATGATTCATTGAGTTCAAGTGTAAAAAAAAACTAAATTTATAACTTCTTCATTCAATTGAGATGATCAGCCATCTGGTAATGCACGAAAAGTTTTGAATGTAAATGTCTGGACATAGACCAGACTGGTACTGTTATTGACCAATATATGACACGGGGCAATGTAACGCAAAGAATGAGACTACGTACTTATTATACTCTCAGAGATATTCTTTGACATAATCCACAATGATATATTGTATAATCACAATTATAGCTTGTATAACCACACATAGCTCAGACATAGCACAGAATACAATTTTGAAAATAATATGAAAAAATAGACGTTTTCCAACAAATCAAGCGAAGCAATGGCTTGAAAAGTGTTATGAGGACTCTGCTGCATCAGAAACAACAATCAAACGTTGGTTTGCTGACTTCAAACGTGGTCGTAAATACACCAATGATGCAAAACGCAGTGGACGCCCAAATGAGGCAGTAACAGCAGAAAACTTTAAAAAAAATCACAAAATTGTTTTGAATGTTCAAAAAGTGAAGTTGCGTGAATAAGCTGACATTGTAAAGATATCGAAAGAACGTGTTGGCTCTATATTATATGAGTATTTGACTATGAGGAAGCTCACTGTTGACCAACAACAAGAACGTCGATATGTGAATCCATCACTTCAGTCCGGAATCAAAACGATCGCTATCTGAGTGGAGAACAATTGATGGTTCTCGCAATCTCGTTCAAAGCGCCCAATAGCACAACAATCAACTGGAAAGGTTATGGCCTCGGTATTTTGAGATGTGCGTGGTGTAATATTCATTGACTATCTTGAAAAGGGAAATACCATCAACAGTAAATATTATATAGCATTTGAAGGCCAAAATTGCAAAGAAACGACCGCATATGGCCAAAGACAACACACCGTGTCACAAGTGAATCGAAACAATGGCAACATCCAACGTATTCGCCAGATTTGGCTCCCAGCTACTACTGGCCGTTCGCAGACCTCAAAAAAATGCTCACCAGTGAGAAATTTCGCTCGAAACTGGTGCTTATTTTGAGGCAAAAGATAAATCGTTCTACACACGTGATATTGAAATGTTAGAGCGGCGCTGAAATGATTGTGTGGCTCTTAATGGAGATCACGCTGATGAATGAAGACAGTTTTGAAGAAAACGCGTTTTCCTTCGTAGGCCCGGGACTTTTCTCAGCCCGTGTTATAATGCAATGTTATCTTTCAGGGTTCCTAATCGTCACATCGAGAAGATCCATGAAAAAGTAAACACGCACATTGATGTAAAAGTTGGGCCTATAAAAGTCGCTTCTCGTCTTGCCAATGAACTGAAGACAATGGGAATTGATATGTATGTCCAAAATTTTAAATAAGTTTGTTTTTTTCGTAATATCAGTTACTTAAGATTATAATATTTGTACCTTACCCTTTGTTGAATCCCGTTTGCTCATGGATAACAAAACAGAATACATTGAAAGAAAAATGCATATAACGATGTTCACGTGAACATGGGGCGGGGAGGTGGAGGGCTTTACTTATTTTTGCTGACAAGGGTTATGGGGGGAGGTAAATAATTGTAATGAATATGCTTACTTGATACTTGAATGAATCCATGGGTTGAGGTTCCAAAACATATAACCTGTAGAAAAGTGAAGATTTTACATAATGGAGGCACATTTCAGATAGGAAGAATGCCATATATGGAAGTTAAATTAAACTGGTTTGCAATTGTGAACAAAATTCAGATAATTGTTCATGAAAATTAATTCATCATTTTGATTTTCAGTAACTGGAGATTATATAATTCCTGCCGGAACAAGTGTGGGTATTTGCCAGGTATTGATTCACCGAAATAAAAAATACTACAAAGATCCTTTGAAATTCGATCCTGATAACTTCCTACCAGAAAGATGCCAGGAGAGGCCGTATTATGCTTACGTTCCTTTCAGTGCTGGACCCCGAAGTTGTGTCGGTATGTTGATTTGCAGTAACAATGCCAAACATTACTTTTGATTTCTCATTTGATACACATTTGTTTCAACCAAAGACTTTGAGCTTTCCTATTATTTTGTGAAACTATACACAGTTGTCTTATCGAACATTTCGAACAAATGAATAATGAAGACAACTTCATTATTTTTCCATTTATATACTTACTTCATCCATCCAAATTCTGTATTAGAGGAAGATTATGCTTTATCCAAACACTAGCTGACACCGCGAATTTGTACTAATAAATGGCATAAATCTTATCAATTGAATCATATGAACTTTTTTATATCGTATATATACCGTTTTCTCAACACCTCGACATGTGTTTCAATCACCAAGTGATCATCTTCAAGAGGAAGATCAAATTAAATCTACATACAATGTTATCCTTATTTACATCATAGATACCTCTGCTAGGTACCTGCGTCTTAATTGTCTTAACATTGTAGTGATTCAGTTTTACCGCCAACGTGTTGTTAGTGAAGTGTCGGTGGAGGGGCGCGCGGAGTTAAGAGACGAGTTGTTTTGGACAGTCAGTCTGGCATGGTCAGCCGATAAGGAATGTGTTTATTGAATGTGAATTTGACGATAGCGATATTAATATTGTATCGCAGCTATCTAACACTTGTATATATTTTAATGTATGTTCTGATTGATAAATAAATCAATAGTGGTTACACGCCTATATCAAACTCATCGAACCCAGAGTCTCATCGCATAAATTGGCACCCAACAGCGGCAAAGTATAGCGTGTCACACGATAGATAAATTGAAATAATATACACAAGTGGCGGCGATCTTACGAATTCGGCGAACTGAAACAGAGAGCGGAGAGGGGAGAGCAGAGGATTTCGAGGAAGCACTGACGCAGTACCGAGAAACAAATAGGACGTGGAGACCGGTGAGATTGTTCAATGTTATCTGCGTATGTATAAACTTATTTGAAGATTTCATGAACTATTGAAATAAATATTTGAACTTTTTCTATTTATGTGCATGGGGATATATAAATATTGTTAGTACTTAGTTAAGAAAAAACGGCGGGCACATTATTGTTGTAAAANCTGTAGTGATTCAGTTTTACCGCCAACGGGTTGTTAGTGAAGTGTCGGTGGAGGGGCGCGCGGAGTTAAGAGACGAATTGTTTTGGACAGTCAGTCTGGCATGGTCAGCCGACAAGGCAGTGTGTTTATTGACTGTGAATTTGACGATAGCGATTGCGAAATTAATGTTGTATCGCAGCTATCTAACACTTGTATATATTTTAATGTATGTTCTGATTGATAAATAAATCAATAGTGGTTACACGTCTATATCAAACTCATCGAACCCAGAGTCTCATCGCAACATTAATTTCACAATGTTGCTTCATCTACTAGTTAGGTAAATCTGATACCTAAAAATATTATTTCAACAAGCTATATAGTGAGATATCAGGCATTGGTCTACCATCTTCATTCATGATATTATGTTGACTTTCATTTCTGAGCTGTCATAGTCGTTCTTAACTTGTCTAACTAATCCTAACGAACTGAAGTCTATGAAACTGTTTTGATGCAGAACAAGATGGGCAACTGCTGATCTTATTTTAATAGATCTTTTAGTCTATTCATAATATTTTGCATCGCAGTCTTTACATTTAATTTCGTAAACCCCAGACTTTTTTTGAATTCTCGACTTTGTCCTTCGAATTTTCTAAAAGGCTCTGTAGTGTATTACTTGTGTATGTGTATGACGCTGTTTTAATATAGTACTTGTGGAGCAAGAAGTAGAGCATACTATCACGGCCAATGTTGTTAGATCATTTCCATGCTCAGCAGTAGAAAAAACAGTGTGAGAAAAAACAGTATGAATTATATTCGATAGATACATACTGAAGAATTACAGACCTATACCATGTTTGAGTTCGTGTGCCGAGTTATTTACGAGCATGTTATACATACCAATATGAGTATTCGAACGCACGTATGGAGATGGTCAAAGAAAGAAATTGCTGTCTGTGAGGAGAACCTGATCATCGATATATGTGTTATATTAGAATTGCTCTCTATCGGTATGGAATCAGAAATAAACAAATGAGCAACGGTCCGTCTCAAAAAAATGACTTCGGGACTAGTGAAAGGATGTGCATCTCATACACGAAAGCATCTGGATGCCGAAGAGACGTTCACCTACTTCGAGGTGAAACAACGGCACTCTCAAATAAATACAGTATGAAGAACTCTTTCCAAGCCAAGTATCAGGACAAACTCCGACTGATCTGATCATCGGAAGGAAGAATGAAGTTTCTGTCGGAAAAATGGTTGTATTTCGATTCTATTCCACTCTATTGGAGGAGTTTAGTGGGCTCTAGACAAACTGTACAGACTCGACATAAAGTCTCGACCTAAATCGTCCGTTCCACGGTTATTAATTCCGTGGATTTTCGTTGTTCGAGCTGGAATATGTGAAGTCATCAGGGGTTCGCATTCTCCCCTCCGCTTGGTCCGTGATGATGAATAAGCAGTAGTCGGATTATTTCTTTTGGAAGCAGCTGCCCGAGCGGCCGATGAAGTTGGTTTAGATCACGGCGCCAATTCAATTCGGTTCACCACCAGCTGTCTTCACGTATAATCCGATTCATAAGGTCTTTTTCAACAACTTTGAATACTTCGACTTATCAAAGCAACTGGCCTGACCAGATGGTATCTCCAACACCTTGATTCACCGTAGTCGCGTGATGGGTTTACAGCTCCATGATACAAGATGCAGAGCCTGCCTTGAGGCTTCTGAGACCCTTGTGCATTTTCTGTCACCTTCGGTGCTTTTACTGCATTGCCGAGATACCGGTAATATAATGAAAACGCATATTTGGAAAAAATACCAAATGAGATGGTGGTTTACTGAACATGTCAAAAAACCTACCTTTGAAACAGCCCTGTAGAAATTAATTGACGCAGGGCTTCAGATACTATCTCTTGCCATATTGAGAACTTCAAGATAACTTAAAACACATTAACATTTTTCATTGAAATATACGAATAAATAGAAAGTTCATAAAAACAAATACATACAGCTACCGAACTGAGTCATGGCCGGTGGGAGAAATCGTATCTGGGTAAAGTATGGGTCGGTGTATGACAAAGAAAGTATTAGGAAAAAAGGAATAGAATCTTGTTTTGAATTTCAAGTTTACGGCTAGAATAAACCAACAGACTCTTGACAGATTTCTATTGTGTTTGGCAGAATCGAGAGATCATTGTACAACAAAGAATCCACCCTGGGTATATTCAATTACCCAGCAACGACACTCCAGGAATGAGAATGGATACTCAAGATGCTCTCTAGTAGAGCAATAAGTGTCAATGTAGAAGACATGACAGTGAGAGGGAGGAGTCTTATCACCTCTTCTCTGAAACATAGTTCTGGATACCTTGATTAATCACCTCAACAATAATGGGTTCTACACAATTGCATAAGCAGATGACATAGTTATTTTGCAGACCGGCAAATTTGTGAACACACTGTGCGATAGAGCGCAGGAAGGGCTCAAAATGATAGAAACATGGTGTAAGGAAAACTCACTGTCGATCAATTCCAAGAAGACTGAGATGGTCCTTTCCATCAGTTAAAGAAGTTTATTGGGCTTAAAACCTTCCGAAATCTTCAAAAGCAAACTAAACTTCTCTGAAGAGGTGAAATACCTTGGTACTATCCTCGACAGGAAGCTAACATGAAACACTCACCTACAGAGTAGAGCAAAAAGAGCATATGTGGCTTATGAGCAATGTCGGAGGACCGTGGGATGCGCATGGAGTCTTTCATCCCGTATAGTCGTACGGTTAATAGGAGTATTATCTTGAAGTTATGAGCCGCTTGCGAGAAGCAATACAAAGAAAACGTATTGTTCAAAAATTCATGGCTTTTGCACCACTTATCATTGCGTGTTCGTGATTTTTTGGCCAAAAACACCACCGTTATCAGCAGAATTGCCCCCATGCGGCTCTATTCTGATCCCAAGAGCTCAAGCATATACCAAAAAGTGCATGTTGGAACGGCTTTGAAGATTGAGGAGGGCTATTTCAAAGGGGACAAAATGAAAGTTGATGAACAAATGAATATTTCTGGTAGAAATGACTATTCACCTCATTTTTTGAACACATAGTGTGAATATGAGCGTTTCTGAGTACAACTCCATTATTTTAGTCATGTTTTTTCTGAGGGAGGTTATATAATCGTGACTCGAAATACACATGACACCATTGTTATACAGTTTTATTCATTTCAGGACCATTCACTGTACATTGGCGATGTCTAGCCTGTAATATCGATTCGAATTCGAAAGAAATATATTGCTCGATTGATTCAATTTTTTTTTGAATTCCATATATCACCACGGTCACCTGACTTCTGTTCTGTTTTCAGGTCGAAAATATGCGATGTTGAAATTGAAAGTATTGCTAGCAGGCGTTCTCCGTAAATTCCAGATACATTGCTCAGAGACAGAAGAAGATTTCAAATTACAGGCCGATATAATATTGAAAAAAACTGGTGGTTTCAATATTTCTGTTACTGAGAGGAAGCATTGAAGCAAAATGTCCATAATTATATCTCATGTTGCAGAGTGATAAGTTTGATAGTTGAAAGGGTAGTATTAACATCTCAGCTATAATAATATTCTCTACATTGATAATTAATATTATTACCATTATCATCATTATAAATTGTTACCAATCTAAAAATGAGTTTCATTGTTGGGAAAGTTATATTTGGAGAAATATAAATTTCGGATCTCGTTCTTATTTCAGATTGTAAAAATCCAGTGCACTTTGGAAACTTATTGAATAATTGTTATAATCCAATTAACGGTAATTTATTGCCAAATATGTTACAGGAGAAATGTCAACCAATAAATTAAAACATGCCTCAGTAAGATCTATATTTGATAGTGATGCAAAAAAATCACTCAATAGACTTATTGAGATTACACCCTACAATTATGAAAACATTAAAAAAAAGGTGAGTAATTTTTCTTGATAAAACATGTGAGTTCGGTCCGATTCAATTTGGCTTTCAGAGAAATAGAGAAAATCACGTAGTAGTTGTCTTTGTGGATATAAAAATATACATACAACTCTCATAAAATTCTAGAGGAAACGGAAAAAATAATATACTATTGTAAATCATGCCTGAAGGAAATAACGCTGGCCGCCGCTGGTAGCCATAAATCAATTGTGACGTCAAGACCACGCCCAGCCCTGCCGACGTTTCGCGGCTGCTTGATGTTCCCGCCGTTTCGATGGAATTCTGCCGAATTCTCTATCAACGTCGAGATGATTCTTTCACCGTATATAAACTCGAACCACTCGCATATCGATATAGGCAAGTGAAGTCAAGTCTCGTGTATCTTGCGGTGCAGAGCGATCAAATAAGGCGGTAGACATTTGAATAATAGTTGATGTTTGTGCATTTTGTTGTACTGATAGTGAAAAAAAGTTGAGTTTGATTATTGTTCAGTGTAGTCAATTATTGCTCAACCCACGAGGAAAACGTAACAATACACTCAAATAAATGGGGTGAAATTTGATGAATTTGAATTTCCATCAAGAACGGTGCCTGGAAAAATATTTGTCAAATTGAATCATCGTGTGAATATTTCATATACGTAGACATTTCAGTACTTTTATTTGTGAATAAAAATGAAATTCATTGAAACGGGCATATTAATTTTTGGGACAGAAAAGCTTTGGTTTTTTACTCATCTATCTCAAAAAAAAATGTGGGAATCAAAGAAAGGAAGATTCCCTGACTTTTTTGTATGAAAATGGAGAAGTAGAAAGCTGAAACCTCTCTTTTTCAAAACAGAATACTTCAGAAAACAGTCAATAAAGATTCGGAAGTATTCGAACAGTGGCTTCCGTCCAATTTTTTTAATGGTTTTCTGAATAAAACTGAATTTATTATTTTCAGTGGAAAATTAGCAGAATAATACATTATTATAAAAAGTAGGTGAATGAAATTCACAACTGAAAAATATATTGATGGTTACGTCGATGATGAATTGAAATGATACACTCAGAAGTGTCTCTCATTATATTCCAGGCATCCAGGCAGATCTGCATCAATACTTCGCTTTCCTGATGAGGAAGTGTAAAAAAGTACTGTGGTGTGAAATAATTATCCAATTTTACAACTCAGTATCGTTATACCAATCTTCGATTTCAAAAATATACATAATTCATTACCTGACTATTTATTGGAAATAATGACAAGAATATGTAATGAACTAGGTTGCACTGTTTGGTGGGACCAATTTTGGTATCATCTGAATATTTTTTCTTTGTACATGAACAATCTGTACTGATATTTTGATATGGTCGAAATCACATCGCGTCTTGCGTTCATAAGGTTTGTTTTTGACTATTTTACGTACAGTTGAGGAAGAAATTTCGGTCAAATCTGATGTTGCTTGTAATAGTTTGTTTTCCTCGGAACCAATCTTGAGATGTAGATTCTTATATACTATGAAACATACTCTCTGTATTTCTGTGTTTCAATATTCAAATGAAAACGATATTTTACTCACTGGTATCTCTTTTTCGCATTGTTTCCATCTCTATTGGAATTACTACACTAGAAAAACTCTGTGTTGTTAACACATTCGTTATTACTATCAGTACTAGTCCAAAGACGCCACATTCCAAAACAGATAACAAGAATTTCAAGTAATTATAACTGCACCAATATCAAATTTCAACACTCAAATCGCGATCAGTTCCTGAACTGAACACGATGGCGATAACCATCCCCGCATTCCTCGATTTCTATTCGTCACCGTTACATGACTTGAAATTTAGTTTTATGACTCTTCAGCTAATCATAAAACTCAGTTAATTAAAATCATCCAATACGAACCGCCAAGTCTACAGTCCACGTGGACTAGTTCGCTGCCGTTTCATTTCAATGTATTGTTTTTTTGACCTTTGAGAGTGCCGCTAACTTTTAATGTGCACAATATCGTTTACTTCTACTGAGTATATATGCGAATAAGCCACAAACCACAGCGGCCCTCAAAGCCAACATAACCCATGCCATCGGTCAAATTGGACGTTCCGAATGCTTTGCACCCAAAGAAGCCGTGGCGGATATTTCAACGATATTATATTCCTCACATAATGGCATCAATGCAATGACATGAAAATTTTCGATGATATCTCACACCCACACATTTTGTTTTATTCTAATTTGAAGACAGCAAGCGCTTAATGGCAGACGCTGTGGATTATGATTAGAAAAATTAATGTTTTTCTGATATTTTCTTCAGTTCATAGTCGACCAGTTTTTGCTAAATCTCTCGATTGAAATCATATTTGGACCGAAAGTTGCTTTCACCACGACATTAAGAATACTTTTCATCACATTATCAAAGATATTGTGTTGACACAGTAAATCAAGACTAAATATTTTCCCAGAACAAAATGGTTGTATTTTTTACCCCATGCCCATTTATACAATTTTATAAACAGGTTCAGCCGGATCTTCTCTTGTGAATCGTTGAATATTTATATTTTATGAAGAACCAAGACTGCTGTATATGAAGGGTTTTCGTCTACTATCTTGTTTCTGATATACCATTCCTATTGAAAAATGATCCTCATGATATGAAAATTGAACCCTCAGAGTACTTGGCTCGTTTACTTTCATAATGTCACTCGAATCTTGTCGTGCAATTTATGTACGAGTATATGAAGCCTGTACATTTGTAAAAGAATAAAGTCTGTGAATCCCAACAAAAGTATGTTTTGCGTCTTGAACAGGATCATTAGAATGCTTATCACTATCGAATCTTTGGCCTCCCAAAGCTTCCTTGACAGGACCAAACACATAAAAGTCACAGGGTGACAGGTCTGGACTGTAAGGAGGGTGTTCCGATGTTTCACACCAAGTTGCTCCAATTTTTCTCTAGTCAAGGCTGCTGTATGGGGGTGAGTATTGTCATGGAGAAGAACCACTTCCCTGATCGATAGGTCTCGTCTTTTGCGACGATATGCAAGTCGGACCTCACTTAAAACGTAGCAGTAGTAGGCCGCATTAATTGTCCTGCGCTCGTGCAAACAATTGAGATACAGCAATCTACGCTGGTCAGAAAATAACGGTAGTCAAAACCTTGCCAGCCGACAAACGTGACTTGACTTTCACTGGTCCAGGTTCTCCTCGTTTTCTCCACTCCATACTCGCTTGTTTAGACACTGGGGTGTAATGGTGCACCCATGTTTCATCATAGGTGATAATGTGAGTGAGTAATTTGTCTCCTCGGTCCTGAAATCCTGCAAGAAGACGCCCATACACCTGAAGATGATGGAATTTCTGGTCAGCTATGAGAAGGCGAGGAACCTACCTGGCGCATACCTTACGGTACCCAGCTCCTATCTGAGTATGGAGTAAGTTGTCTCCTAACTTTTCCCGACCTCACTTGCAATTTCAGAAGTGGTACGACGTCTGTCATCTTCAATAAGCCGTCGAACACTGCTGATGTTGTTCACTGTAATTTTGGTGCGAGGTCTGCGGTCATGAGTCTCATTTTCAACACGATCACGACCATACACGAAGTGTTTTTGCCATGCAAACACTCTGCGGCGAGAAAATTGATTACAACACGTTGCGTAATTGACGGATATACCTATTGTTCCGATATTGTCATGGTGGACACTAAGAGGGTCGAGGAGGCGAGCCCACGTGATTCCTCTACTCCTGAAAAACCTACCCAACAACAAACATAGCGGGAACGTTCTCCCTCTACTATTGTGCCTGAAGGTCGAAAAGTCTCGTTTATATTTGATTCCACGTATTTCTGTTTTTGACTATACTAGCTTCAAATTTGCAATGAATTCCATTTATAAAATCGGGTTATTCCATTTTGCTTACAATATTCTCAATATTATTGATGTCATTATCGATATCAACTACATTAGTATAAATCAAATTTCAGTCGAAAATTCAAGGGATTCTGGGAAATTTCATTTAATTGAGCTGATATTTTACAAATGGCAATTTCACATATATTGGAATAAATTTCAGTTCAGGGAATAATATACAATTGGAGGTCACCTTAGCACACTTAAACTCATTGCTGCAATTTTATTTACCTGATAAAGTTCATTCCCCACTCCACAGTAAATATATAGTTGTATTAGATGACCAATCAAATACGGGCCCATGATTGCTATTTGGGAACTACTAACATCGTCCTAAAATTGGAAAGGATAGTTTTATATAGTCTAATTTTGTATCAATTTTTGAAAGTTCAGGTGTTAACATGCAATTCCATATCAATAAAGAACTATCAAATCAATTACTGAAATTGTTATAGTAGGTTGTTTTTCACTTGATCTTTGTTTCATCGTGAAGCAAAACCCTAAAAAGTCAGTATTAATTTCCTCAATACATTTGGAACTATCGGTACTATCACGATAGTATCATATTTTGGGATTTAGAATTAGAACAATCACAAAATGTTGCTATATTGTGTGGATTGAAACCCACTCTAGAACTCTTTGAAAAGTGAATTTTAGTGGTGATGTGGTAAAGTAGATATTCAGGTCATTTTTTTGCTGATACCACTATCGCTATTTCTGGAACGGTGAGTCCTACGAAGTTGGATCAGAATTGATTTTTGGACAAGTGAGATAATAATATTCACAGATCGAAAAAATGTTAATTTTTTGAAATATTTCATGAAAAGTGTTTTTTGCGCTAACACCCCTAATTTGAATTATATTCAAAAAACTATATCTAGAAGTGGTTGAAAGATATTCTGTTCATTTCATGTTTGTCATGATCTGGTTGAACCCAATTTTTAATGCGACGTTTCGTGGCATTTAAAATCGTATTAAAAATAGTAATACGCACTTGCAAAATATTTATGATATTTTTTAATCACCATAATTACAAATCCACTGATGTATTGAAACACATGTTATTAGGAGTGTTTCCTTTTCGAAATTCCACAAATTTCATAATGAAATTGAAATCCAAATGGAATTTTCTCGTCGAGAATGTCTTAAGAAAGAAGTGCAAAATCTGTTATATCCATTCATAATATGCAAATACCTTTTAAAAATTTTTAGTTTGATCACAGGATATTTTACCGACATATTCCTTTTGAAAAAATGAGTATATCAACAGGATTAAATCAATGAAAATAATGCATTGAGAAGTATTAGAAAATCATTGATGATATTCAGTAAAAACGTGGGAGTTTTGAAATGAATGTGTTGTGATACATTAATGACTTTTTGATCGTAATGACACCCAACATTTATAACGAAATATAGCGGCCGGTATTCAAAAAATATATTTCGATGAAGGATTTTAATGAACGAAGCGTTGTATCAAAAAATGGGTTAACTAGATAATGACGAATATAGAAAGCTAGAGCGAAAAACATAAACATGACATATTCAATTTTCAGAGAATATCTCAAAAATTGCTGATGATTGTTTTGGTCTGACAACATCATTATGAAGCATTCTCAAAATGACAACTATTCATTTATTTCAATTATTTCGTAGCACCCACCAGTTACCAACAATATTGATTCTGAATTATTAGTTTTGGAAATGATTTGCTTACGTCAAATCTTGTTTTTTTTAACAAGCGTGATTACTATGAAAAAGTAGAAGATCATATTCTCATACAAACACTGTTCTATTGAATATTTATTTATTCATGATATTATTTCAGCAATTTTCACAAATAGATTTTTCACCTAATTACCGATTATTTTTTTGATGGGTTCGTATGTGATTTCCTTTGGTAGATTTAAAGAAGCCGACAAGGTGTCCCCTTTCACAGGCACAGTCATTGTTTGGAGTTAATCGGGAATTATTATTTGTCAGATATGAAGGAATATCTTGGACTTTATGATTTATGAAACGGATCTAGGAAAAACAATTTATTTATGAAATTGCTCAAGTATTATCATGGATCAATATATTCATAATTTGAATATTTATTTGTGAGACTAAAAAACGCAATACTACCTTCGTCGCTATGAAACCTGATACACAAGTCGCCAGTACACTACTACACAACTGTAGAAAAGCTACTACATTGAATATCTCTTCTACGACCACAGTTGTCCTGAAAAATAACATGTGTGAGATCAGAGATTACTTGGCATCAGTGAAAAACATTCAGTTGTGATTATCACCTATAAAAGGAACTTTGCCCATTCCATAGAATGAGATATAATACAGTATGGAATTTCTGTCACGAAACAAGTATGCAAGTATCATGGAAATCTTTCTTAAATTTTGTGAAAATGGAAAAAATTAGGTCTATGAAGTACTTAGTTATTGAATCTGGTTGAAATACATTACAAACATACACAAACAATATAATGGAAAATGTGGAAACCTTTCGAAGATTGAAAGAAAGGAGACATTCAGAAAAATAATTTCCCCTGAAAGTTATCCATTTTCAATTTAAAAAAATATAACCATAATCTCTCAGTTTTTCATATAGTTGTGTCAATGTGAACAGTGAAATATCATTGAAAACGTAAACACACTATTCATATATTCATGAATTGAAACCTCTGGGGTGAAATCAAACTAATGCAAATTAGAGCACTCTCTCGACGCGTGTTACGCTAACCAAGTCGGCATCATCAGGAGATGAATAAAACTAATTCCGTTCAACTGAGATAGAGCTGCTATATACGTCTGACTTAACTTTTTCAGATTTATTAAATAATCAATACAAGAAATAAAAATCCACTAAAACCAACAAAAACCGTAAGAAACTCGATCAGGAAATTCTGTACGATACACAGATGATGAGATAGGGGGCGTTATTTTAGTCAGATCGTATCGCTGCGCCTGTAGAACAATAAATACGGAACTCGCGTTCCTTGGGGCTTTAGCACGTAGTATTTCTGTACGGTCTTGACCGACGTAGTGTCCCATATTGGCCTCTTTGCCGTCATGCAACACAACGGCGAATAGCTTGTAATGCTTCTCTTTTGGAGAATGTGTTTTCGACGAAACCAGTATCGAATCAATTTTCAAGTCGAATTCAAATTCCAAACACTCGATAATCTTCTTGCAACCACCGTGGCTATAATCGAAAAACTTCAAATTCAATATAAGAATGAGGGGAGGTTCGCAGAGTATTACTAGCTCCCACGCTTCATGCTGGTCATTAGTTTTCGGCGAAATCATTCCCTCTAATCTGTTTTCGAAGACGAATACCTCAGTGATTCACTGATCATCTTCACTTTCCCAATGTTGAGAGGCTTGTCTTTAGTTGTCGGTTATCGGTGTACTGGCAAAGTTGGTTCTTAAAAATATAAAAGCTATGTAAATATAGCTTTTATTTTTTTAACCTCCCACTCATTACTTAAATTATTGCCCGTAGCAGAATGATAAGAAGGTTCTCCCTCTTCAATGTAATATTCAAATCCAACATTTCATCATTCAGACTGTTCATAAGAAAACTAAGAAATTCTTTCGCAACTTGCTGTCTGTTTTCCCTCAATTCAGAGTATCCCCATGCTATACAACATTTTTCAAATCCACGTCGTGCCAAATAGGGTGGCCGTTTTGATGATAACTGCCTGGTTGTTTTTGTAATTTTCACCCTCTCTCACGTCTTTCGTCCTAATGTTGGAAGGCGAGTAGTCGAACTGCCTCACAAAACGACACATTCCAACTATTGTAAATCATTACCTAGAGAAAATAACGCCATAACAGAAAAAGCTTTTTTTCAATAGGTAGGCTCAGCAAATTGAATCTGGTCTGAAAAGCTGGTTACATTGACCTAGAAGGTAACAAGGCTCCTGATTCTCTGGCAAGGAAGGGCGGTAAAAGCAGTTTAATCCGATCAGAAGCTAACATTGGAATCATCTTAGACCACACCAACAATTATCAGACTGAAGCAGACATTTCGATAATGACGCTTTTTTGTAGATCTTACCAACGCCAATTCAGACTCAATTTATCAAAAGAGAAATATAGATGAAAAAACTTTTTTACTCAATTCGATTATCCTAAAAAGTTTCGATTCCCATGCAACTCTTAGAACTGTTCGAATTTCGAAAGAAAGAACTCCATGGTTGACAGCAAACTTGTAGTTCATGATGAAACTGCGGGATAGAGCATTTACCAGATTCAAAAAAGCGAGCTCCCCTCCCACTGGGATCATTACAAGCAAATGAGAAACCTCACAAACCGCACAATTGAGTTGGAAAAAAAGGCCTACCTGGAGCTCCGCCTCAAAAGTCAAAGAAATGAATTTTGGAAGGATTTAGCTTACTTGGACATACATTAAAAATCCAATAAAATCATCCCTGAACAGCTCTCTAATGCCAATGATCTCAATACCTTCTTTTGTGATAGCTCTTCACTTATCTCGAATCCAGGTAATGATATCATATCATTTTTTCCTACCAACTATTCCTTTGATGATCACAGTTTTGCTTGCGGAGAATGAGGTGTATAAAACACTTTTCTCAATAATATCCAATGCGGTCAGTGGTTGGTGCCGATAATATCAGCATCAAAATGTTATTGCGTTGTTTTCCTTTTATCATTCCCCATGTCACACATATATTTAATATATGCATCCAACAATCAGCATATTCCTCATTATGGAAAAAATCTTAAAATATTTCGTTGCCAAAAACCGCAAATTTCCAGAGTATCAATGACCTTCGCCCAATTAGCATCCTCTGTGCAATCTCAATAACGCTAGAAAAATTCATGAACCTCAGATTATTCAAAAGCTTTCAACACGATTAGCCATCAGCTTTTACTGGTTTTGTTAAAATATCTCAGATTTTCACCCAACGCAGTTGAACTCATGGAAAACTATCCTAGTGATCGCTCCCAATCTGTTATATTAAATAAAATCAAATCAGATTTTCTTGCTACTCGGAATGGTGTCCCACGGGGGTCCATCCTAGGCCCACTTTTGTTTGTAATATATACCTCTCAATTCCCTCATTGCCTTCGTTACAAAAACATACATAGTTACGTTGATGATACGGAGATATACATGCATTTCGAGGAATCTTCTGTAGATGATAGTTGCTGAAAATTATTATAGATTTGAAAAGTCTGACTGAATTTTCGAAAATATATTATCTTTCTGTGAATGTCAACAAACCGTTTGTCATGCTTTTCGGGAGGTCAGCAACTAAAAAAAAGTGCACTATCGATAATGTGTCGTTACCAAAAAAAGGAGAACATGGCAATAAAAAAACCTTGGTTTGCTGATAAATCTGTTGCTAAGATTTATATCACATGTCTCACTGATCTTGAAACCTCAAAACAATCTACACATGAAGCCTGCTTATCTCTACAAACTCAGGTTTCGGACCGACGTTCAAGCACCTAATATTCCAAATATGTGATGGAATACTTTATGGAAATCTATAATGTACTTGAGAGAGTACTTCATTGTGAGCTTTTCACTAGACAGTTCACAAAAACCGCAACAAGTGTTTCGCTATCCAATAACTTTTTCAGGCGTGTCTCTTTTCAAATACGATTTTTCCTGAACCATAAGAGAAAATTTCAAAATTTCAAAAGCATTGTGAAAACGATTCCAAGGGCTTTGCAAACATGACCCAATCCATTCTAATGAAACGTTCCCAACAATTCAGGAGATGTAAAGTTTCGTGTATTGAACAAATAAACACTGACTGACAAATCATCAATCCCCTCATCTTACCGAGTCAGCAGTTGATGGTGTTCAATGCACAACCTCAAGAATTTTCTGTCCTGACCAAATCCTAATAGTCTTCTTCTACCATCCAACTTGCGGATTTTATTATACAGAGGTACCATATTTTCAGTTCCCACTTGCTCGTAAGTCTTTCCCAATAAAATATACTGGTTGGTAAGGCCTGCACATATGCCCATAAATAAAAAATCGAAACCGCACACGCTCATGTCAATCAGGTAATGTGTTCCAATTTGCAGAATGTATATTATCTGGTAAATAGGTGTGGCATGGAAATCGAATGGAAATAGCGTCTTGTATGGTAATTCTCTGTTCTTGCTGAATATTGGAGATGTGATACTCGCCAAGGAGAATAAAAAACCAGTGGTTAGCAGAAATAACATCATCCATAGTCTTGTGATGTACCCTGACTTGAAGGCTTCTTTTGTTCCTTCTGCCAGATCGTGCGGCCAGAATTTTTTCCACATGGAATTCAAAACAAATCTGATTCTTTTCGAATGTTTATGTAGAGCTGTAACTTTGTATGCTGTCTGAAAAAAAAACTCTTTGAAATCAGATATTTCTGAGCAATTTTATTCATTTGCTAATAATTATTTGAATCCTGCATAAGAATATGAAGATTTTGCAAATCAATATGAAGCAAACAAGGATCGATCAGATTCTTGTTAAAAATGATAATTTTCAGAATACGCAGTATCGGAAGTATGACATTAGGTCCGATTGTTATTTATTCATTAATCCGAAACAAACAGGCAGAGCCTATTAGTATGTTTCATAGTAAGTAGCTACAAGTACAATTTTTAGTTGAAAAATGAAAAAAAAATCACATAAAAAAGAAAAAATAAGAATATCAGATTGAAAAAATGAGACTAATACTGAAAATAATGTCAATACCAAAAACCTAGTGAACTGATATGAATGTAGGGAAATACATATAGGGGTACGTTCACACTCATTGGCAGAATCAGGAATTGATAACCGCTTTTAGGCTAGGTTAGAGTTTTTAATATGATACCTCTAAGATACCTAACCTAAAGATCTTTTTGTATTCATTATACATTGGAAAAATTCTCTCAATAGGGGATTTATGTTGATTGACATGAAAATTAATTTGTCGCAGACGAATACCTGGCAGCGAAACATAAAAGCATATTTGATTGGTGAGAAAAATGCTATCTACATGGCCATTCAAAATTTTTCCTGAGAAATTCCTATTTGAAATTTTTCTATGATTGGTCCACACTACATAAAATCTAGCGAAATGCCGTATTTTTCAATGATTCCTTCAGCTCTCGAAAATGAAAAAGATAGTACCTATTGCTCAATTTTTCGTACCACATAGAATTTGAATTTCCACCCATTTTCAGTCGGTAATACAATGACATATGATGAATAGAATATAACTATCATGTATTTTTTGTTTTCTCAAACATTTTTATAATTTCGATATGAACCAACATTTTCTATTGTAGAGAATATTGCTGTATCCTCCCCTGAAAAAATTGAATCTGGCCACCGCTGGTTATCTTCAATCGATTATGATTTGGCCAAGGCCGACTTACGCTTCGCTTCGATACATTTTCAGAGACTTCTCTATCAGCTTCCAGAGATTTCCATTACGAAATAAACACTGCCAACATGCAGATCAAGGAAGTTCAGTTGAGAGTGCGTTACAAAATGATCTAATAAGATGATAGACATTTGAGAATCAGTCTGAAGTTTCAGTCAAAATGTTTGTGTTTGAGTATAATTGTAACTTAACAATATTTATATGATTTCAATCTCGAAATCTATAGATTTGACTTCAGTGGATTTCCAGTGGATTTCCAATTCGTCTGAATAAAAACTATTTGGTACTCTATTTTGGTACTATATTTTATACAGTGAACTGTATGAAATATTTTTAAACAAGTTGTTGTCAAATCCATTCTTTTGTTTTTTTAAATCAGACTCAGATCATGACACACCATTATTCTTGCCGAAATTCGGCTGTGAAATTCAAAATTAAAGTTAAAACTCTTTTGATATTCGAGTAGATGATTGGAAATAGAAAAAGTTCTATCATATGTATTGAAGGAGTGAATTTCGGAAAATGTATGCTTGCATATAAGCAATTAAAAAAAAAAATAGTTCATATCCCATAAACGGTCAGAGATAGGTATAGGACAAAGTTCTGGTTAGCTGAATTCAAAAATTGAATAATACACAGGGTGTTCCATTTGAAAAAAAATAGTTATGGTCGTTTATCACAGATACAAATTGAGACGTATTTTTCAGACACTGTATAAAATAAGATTTAAATTTCGTTCCGAAATAACAACCACGATACCTTACCTCAAAGTTGCCAGAATTTGAGTTCGACGTATAGGTTAATTCATGCGATATTGAATATTAAAAATACCATGTTTTCGCCAAAAAAAATTGCAGAATAAATAATATTTTGAAAACGGTGAGAGATAGGTATAGAACATAATCAACAAAAGTAATTTATTACATTTTTGAATTCATTGCAGAATTCAAAAATGATAAAATATATGGGGTGTTCCATTTGAAATTTCCAAGTTGTTGTCTATTACATGGTGATGTGGCAACAATGCGGTGATGAAAATATTTTCAAACGATAGATCACAGACATCTACATTGGTAATCAAAATTTCAAACTCTCAACTTTTTTTGTTCTCATGTTACCTACAGTTTTTATTTCAAAACCATTCAATTGAAATATTTCACAGTTTCCTCTGAATTATCTAGGGAAAAATATCTTATTGATAATTTTTTAATTTCTTTGATCATCTGAATCATACTAATTATAATAAATAGAAATCATGTATTCTATCTAGTGATTTTTCTTCTTGCTGTACTTCTTTTAAATAAATCGGCATTTCTTTCTTTTCGAACTTATATTCATAATATCTTGCATTCGAATCCAAACTTTTCAATAACTGGAATCACAGCATATGTATAATTCAAAATGATATTAGATTATACTTTCATCAAACTCATGGAGGTATAATGATATTGTTAATGTATATCTATCCGTATGGATTTTATTATTCTTCTGAAAGAAAAACACTTTTTCATTGGTTCTAGATAGTGGAAATCGTTTTCCATTTTGATATCAGAAAATTAAGTTCATTTTCTCTAATTCAACTCATATTCTCAACTCCATTTCGTATTTCTCCATCATAATTGACTGGAACCTACACAAGTCTTATTTCTATTCAACTGCGACATTTGTTAAAATAAACTGAGATGATTTTATAATGGTTTTTTATTGATTATAAATCAATTTTGAAATAAATACATGAAATCTACAAATTCATAATATAATTGTCAATATTACTATCATAAATGGATATGTCCTCAATGTAGAATTAAACGATCTTTTTTTCCTAACATATTCTGAAAATCATGGAGCGGGCCTTTCATAGTATTCTCACTTTTGAATATTCAAAGTTCAATTGGAAAATCTTTCAGTTGAGAAATAAAATTGTACCTCATCATACCCTTTTTATAAAGTGTAGAAAACAAAAAGTACGAAAATAGAGTTATTTTTGTCCGATGGTAATATTACCTGAAAAATAGGTGACATAGATGATAAAACGACCAAGATCTCATTATAATCATGAAACTTCTGTATGAGATACAAAAGTAGACCAGACTGAACGAATAAACAAATCATCATGGTTATCCAATAAATTATTTTCTTTTCTCTGGAATTGTTTGATTCAGGCCAGATGAATATCGACCTCAAAACCAGTTTTGGCAATGCCATTAACAGAAGTGAATAATCATCAGATCCAATTGAATTCTTGAAGAAACCTGAAAGAGAACAGATTTTTCATCAAGTAAAACTCATTGACTACCTGCTGTACTTTAGTAGTGAAGATGTACATGAGTGTGTTGATAATATGAATGTAGTCTTGAAAGAGTGTATAGATATTGCTCTGCAAATCTGCTGAAGGTGAACGTAAATAAAACAAAATGGAGGTTGTCAGGGATACTTAAAGATCATAATAATGAAAACTTGCTTCCACGGTTGGATGACAGTGATATAGAAGAGGTAAACAAATTCGTCAACTTGGGTGTAACTATTTGCACATTTATATTATTGTTCAGCAGAATGGAAGTGTACTCTTATAAAACAAGTTATTTCAATATTTCATCTTCAAGGAAAAGTGTTACAGAGGATGGCCGTGTCGATAAGAATGTTACATTCAAACAATTGAAACATGTCAATACAATAAAACAAGTCACTACATTTGAAGAGGTTGACTCCTTACTAATATTAAGAACTGAACAAAAAGTTGGAAAACGACCCCATAATGGGAATGCTTATGCGGATGAGATGCTTATTCAGTATAGCTTCGGAAACAACTTCAAAACTATTATAACAGGCAGAGAGGCATGGAAAAGAGGACCTCCAATAAATGCAGAGAATGCCTGTTACACAGACGGATCAAAAACTGAAGAAGGTGTAGGAGCAGGAATCTAAATAACTGAACCAAAGACAAAAGTCTCACCAAGCTTAGGTAAAAAAGTGACGATATTCCAGGCAGAAACAGCAGCAATACGTCACTGCGCAGAAGAGTTACTAAGGCAAGAGTTTCATCGCCAAAATTCACGGAGTCTGAATAGGCGATCAACTAGAGTTCTGGTCGGGCTATTGACGGGACACTGTAGACTCGACAAACACATGAACAACATCGGGCTGGCAGACACAGCCCTATGCAGGCTCTGCCAAGAGGATGAGGTAACCTCCGTACACATACTATGCTATTGCGGAGGTCTGTCAAGGATAAGGTTTGCAACATTAGGAAAGGAAAAACCACAACCCTCTCAATATATGGGGAACTTGAGGTCTGGCCTATGGAGTCTAGTTACAAGGACGGGCCTAGACAAGGAACTCTAGCATACATGAGGGCACACACAATAGATCTGCAAAGGTCGCAGTGTAGTGGCTGTTCAGCACAGAAGTTTAGACGAATTTGAGCATACCTACTCACTTGGTTAGAGTACGAGTATGCTTATTCCAAGGAGAACAATTCTGCCTGAAGCATTGAGGATATCACAAAGTAAAATACTGGAACCTCCAATATTCGATGGTAAGTCATTATGGGAGGAAAAGAAAATGACGGAGAGTGAGTATTTCCGAAAGGGTGTAAGTACTTTGCTTCATTTTATCTCAATATCCAAACATATCTCATGATTTCCAGCTAGTTACTATGCTGCCTTGTCTCTTCTATCAGTAGTCTACGGTCACTGCAGGATAAACAGGTGTATTGCCTTCTATCGCTGACGCCCAAATAGTTCATCCTATAGGTTGAATGACAAAAATGACTTTTCAGTCTTGTAGTGCATTAGTTTTTCCATAAAGAAGTAACTTTTTCGACACTTCTCTCATGGGGGTACATTACTGTATATTTTAGATTCTCGTATCGAAGACCGTTGAAATGAAATGAGATATGCTATAAATCGGTTTATAAATTATGTGCTTCTGAAAAACGTTTATTTTGGGACATTATTTTCATTTTTGAAATATTAAGTGATACATTTTGCAGTGTGTACACATCTTATATAAGACCAACCTCTGTGAGCTGATAAAAATACGCGGAACATTGTAAAGTTTTTGTCTGACGACTGAAATGATCACTTTCATTATGAGTTTGAAAATTCCCAAATTTTGTAATTATACTTTCGCATGTTGCTCCTAGTTTTTCGCTGGACTGATAAAATTAAAAAAACTCACCACTGAAATTCATCGCGGAAAGTTCCGGCTATTTCCATGTACCAACTACCAAGTTGACAGTGTCATACAGAACTATTCATTTCGAATAATTCACAGGAAATTGTGTTATATTCCAGTTCATGTAAAATTCATATACATAACTCGAAGAGTTGTGACAACTTTTCAGCATACATCTTGAAAACACTTAGTGTATTGATCTTCCATATTGCATCATTAATATTCACGTTATTATATACAGCTTATACATATTCGAAAGGAGCTGAGAATTTCTTACTTCACGCAAAGACCGTCATATTTTGTAATGTGAAAGAAACTGGAAATTTTTTCGTCTTTCATTGGTTTTTCGATGACAACTTTGACCATAATGACAAGAATTTAATAATATTAGGATTAGGGTTAAACCTTTGTGGTTTGGTAGATAAAATCATTACACATAATTTGTTGGGTTTTGTCGTGGTCTCCTTTGGTTATAATCTCCAAACGTTTTAACGGCAACTGCGGCAGTCAACTGAAACCTAGTTTCCATTTAAAACGGAAGAAATATTACTAGAACATAGAAAACATGTTCAGATGGAACAAAAAAAGTTTTTTAATGATTTTCAGAGTAGTGAATCTAACTCCTACCAAAACTTAACCAGATATATGCAATAGAGAAATCAAGAGTCTGGAAACTGAAAACATAGAGGACTGAAATCCCAGGGGCTTCATTTTGGTGAATTTGTTTTCGTCGAGGCCTAAATCCTATGACGTTCAAAATTTCACTACCAAAATGGCGCCCCAAAAGTTATTTTTAAAGAGTGTTTTTGCACCTAACTGCGAATTTTTTAAATATCAATTTCCCTTTAACAATCTCCTGCAGAAGCCGAAGTAGTTTTTCTGAAATTCGCCAATCCTTCATTTATGAATATGACACAAAATTTGTCATCAATTCGTGCATTCATTTTTTGAAGATAATAATGACGTTGTTATCAATAAGTTTTCCAATAGAAGTCCTCATAAAGTTTCCAGAAAAGTGGAGTAACATAAGTGAAGCCATAAGCAAAGTTCTGATCATGGAAATATTGTTATGAAATAAAAACATTATATTCTAAACTATGATTGAGGGGGTGCAATCGATTTTACTGACAATTAGCTGACCTATATAATACATAATTCCGTATCAACATAGTTATTCTGAATAGTTACACAGGAAGCTGTGTGCGAAGTTCCAGAAAAAAAATTTGGTAATTTAATGTGGTAAAATTCACCTTCTTACGCCCGAAAGATGCTTTACCACCCAGTCAAAACCGCACTAGTAATTTTGCTACGTGATTCAAAAATGATACGAATATTGATTCAGCGATGAAGTTTTTTTCTTCGAGTTCATCCTATAGGTTGAATGACAAAAATGACTTTTCAGTCTTGTAGTGCATTAGTTTTTCCATAAAGAAGTAACTTTTTCGACACTTCTCTCAATTTTTTGGTTGGTTCCAGGGTTTTGTCATGATCTTCTTTGGTTATAATCTACAAACGTTTCAACTACATCTGCGGCAGTCATCTTCAGTGGCGTGATCGAAGTACTCTTCTTGACATTTCAATAAATACGTCAAGAAGATTACTTCGGCCATGCTACTGAAGATGACTGTCACATTTGCAGTTGAAACGAGATTATAACCAAAGAAGACTACGGTAAACCAACCAAACCAAAACATTGACGCTAGCCGTGAAAGTCTAAATTCCTATATTCCCACAATAATTTGAAATAATTTCGAATTTTGGGCAGTCTGGTATTGCATCCACTATAACTGATTACTGGTATAATTAATATCATATAGTCCGTCTATTATATCTGTAACTAACTGATTCATTTTCTAGAAAATGAACAAGAAAAACAAATCATTGTAACTTGTAATGTAACTTGTTGTAGTGTAGGTTGTTGGGAATTCGGTCAAAATGTTGAAGCAAATCAATTTCTAAATTGTCGATGTTTCGAAACTTTATTGTTTCATCTTCAGGACTCTGAAGTTTAAGAACAAGACATACATATTAAAATGAAAATTCACAAAGCAGTTCTGTTAAAAACAAAATAAATTATGTACTATAACAATCGTTAAAAAATAATAAATGTTTCGAACACTTTACAAAAAAACAACGTTGATGAGTACTTACATTCAGGGCGGCTTTTCGGGTTGAAGGGTGAAGTGAATAATTTCGACATAAAATATAAATACGTACACAGGTTCCTGAAAGACGTTGACACGGACACGAAGGGATTAACAATCTGAACTGTCTGTAAATCGTTCTTTATAATTCAAAAAAACCCATGAAATTCACCGCCTCGAAAGGCCATGATGAAATCCTCAATATCCGACTTCAGCACACTCAACCCGTGAAAGGCGAGGTTCAGGTTTAGGAAGTTCAGTCTTCAAAAGACTAGAATGAGACTGGAACGGCAATTCTGATGACCAGATCTGTCGCAGTTTGTGCTGATACTTGCCGCGGAGAGAGTTTTTACCTCTTGTGAGTAGCGTTGTTCCACCCCGAGGAAAGTATACGTCTCTGACATCCAGATAGTGCAGGATGCTTTCATCTACCAGCTGCATATTGCAAATCCTCCTCGTAATCCCCGCATTGACTCATTTTGAGATTATTTTTTTGTCCCGAAGCTCCGACACAGTTGAGAAGGCGCGCCTGCATTATCAACCAATGAACACTTCACAAGATTTATGTCATCGTGTGGCAAGCCGGTATGATCTTGAGACTCGAGAGTAGAGCATAAATCATTTCATCAAGGGCTCTAATCAGAACAACAATCTTACTCAATTATTTATTCCATTTATAGTGAAATTATAAAATAATATGTTATTGTTATGGATTTTCACTGTCGTCATTATTATTATCATTATTATACAAGTTGGACACTTTCATTCCCAAGTGATTCAAGTTCTAGCCATAATTCCTACAATATTCAGTTTTTGCCTGTATATGGTGGTGACTTGACTGGATTTCAAAAAACTTGCTTTTTTTGACATTATTTGCGAAAAAATCAGTGTTTCTCATCAGTTTTGACAATTTACTCATCACACAATTTTATCTATGTCTTATTAAATATTGAAATTATTAAAAATTTTATCAATATATCTCATTAAATATGTTTAAATTTACTGTTGTCAAAGAAGTTGAAATGTTGATTTTGAAACAATTTCGAACACAGCGGTTTCACTGGTTTTTTATGTGAAATTCATTGAAATTATTTACGGAATACTACTTTTCTCCTACTGAAGTTTGGTTTCCGTGCACCAGATGTCAGGATGGGGTTGGTTTCAGTCTGATATTACACCTGAAGGAAATATTAGAAAAATAGTAGAGTTGAATGTATATTCGAAAATTGAAAAGAGTATTTCCTGTAGCGTATTTTTGCTCGGATTGTACAATGGAGGTTCTGAATATTATTCAGACATTTCATTTATTTTTGACGAAACAATTTTGAGAATTGATGAAATTATAGATATTTGCGGGCATTTTTATGATGAAGTGCCCGTTATCGTACTTAAAAAGTGCGCAAATGAACTCGGACCAGTATTTTGTAGACTTTTTAACCTGTTCTACAAGGAAGGGGTTTTTCCTTCTTCTTGGAAGATTGCTCCCTTTCAGCCTATACCCAGAATGGGCACGAAAACTTCTCCAAATAACTATATACCAGTCGCTTTGCTATCAGTGATATCAAGAAGCATGGAAAAAGCCGTAAAATCGTATCCTCAAATATTTGGAAAGCATCTTGTGCGATCATCAATATGGCTTTTGGAAACAAAAATCAACAGGCAACCTTCTATCGTATATCACCCATATTTAGAATAACGCCATCGAGAAACATGGAGAGTCAAGAGCTGTTGCGCTGGATATTTCTAAGGCCTTTGATGAGGATTTGCTGGCCAAACTTTGATGCTATGGCTTGTCAAATCATCAACGATGATGTTCCCCAGAGATCTATATTGTCTCCAACCCTCTTTTTATTGTATATCAACAACTCATTGGAAAAAACCAAGAATTCAAAATATTGCTTAGCTAAAGACAGCACGCTTGTCTCGTCATTACATTTGAATTCCAGGACATCGGATGCGGAGGCACATCTTCACCGGCAGCAGGAGGTTGAATATCTTAATGGGGATCTAGAAGTGATTTCGAATTGAAGTAAAAGTAACCAGGTTCAATTCAATGCCACAAAAACTCAGACATTGGTTTTCTCCAAAAAGATAAATGTTTCTGAACCGAATATATTAATGTCAGGTCAGACAATTCCGCTTTCTGCTTCGATAAGTTTGTTACGGGTTGAAATGGACATCAATATGTCTTGGCACAATCATGTCGCTGGAATTGCAAAGGCTGCTTCTCAAAAGCTTGGAACACTGTTCCGAACCAGAAAACTGTACACACTTCAGCAACTTCTGATGCTTTGTAAAGCTCTTCTTTGCCCTTCTTTGGAATATTTTTGTCATGTAAGGAGTTTCGCTCCGAAACATACCCTGAAGCTGCTGGATTCCATCCAGAAAAGAGCTATCCATCTGATTGGAGACGCGAACATCAGTTGCAACCTTGATAGCCTGGAACATCGAAGAAATGTTGGAGATTTGTCTCCCTTCCATAGATACTTTCACGGAAAGGGTTCAAGTGACCTGGCACATTCGATTCCACCAAGAGCAGTACATATCAGAAATACGCGACGGATTGTGGCTGCTCATCGTTTCGAGGTTCAACTACTCAGTACATCTCGAACTTCATTCACTGTTCAAGAACCCTTCCATTTGGAGTACGGCATTTATGTAGAATAAACTTCCTGAGAACGTTTCTCCGAATAGATTTAATCTCCAGCGATTCAAATCCAGTGTGAGCCACTAATTTCGCACAGGCACCGCTCTAAGAACACCTTAAGAATTTTCCTGTAGTGCTTGTGTTTTGTCCTCAAAAAAGTATTCACGATGCGATGACAGGAACTACAACTTTTTTCAGTTATTGAAATTAATGGGAATAAAGCAAAACAAATAGGAAAAACTGGGGAAGGAAGAAAAACTACGCCAGATGTAAGAGAAATTGGAACAGCAAGAAAGAAGAAAGAAAGAGATGAATACAATGAAATCATGAGAAAAACGAAAAAGATCAAAGAAAACGGTAAAACTCAGAGGGAAAAAAAACAATAAAGAATATGTTACATCAAGACAAAAAGCGATGAAAAGGAACTAGAGAAAGTATCAGTCCAAAATGAGCCAAATCCCTCCGACTCAACATACCTTGAAACAAAATTTCTAAAACTGTGTACCCTGAAACTGACGATAAGCGATTCTATTGGAAGAAGCCCTTGAACAAAGACTCTCCAGCCTTTCATTCCCGTTCCTCGTTGACATTATGGTAAAAGGAGATTTCTGTGGAATCTCTGCCGTCGAACGGATAAATATTCAATATCTATAACTTGGGTGTGCTAAAACATACATGTTGAAATAGAAGATCCCGTCGATCCTCAGGTTGTACAAATTTGAACTCTTGAGGGATATCGTTGGTATGGAAACAGCAGGTGGTTGAATAAATGAACCTAAAATCTATTTTTTGAACACACAACAGGTGTGTTATGACTTCAGGTTCAGTTCAGTACGAGATATGATAGCGTAGGCAAGCGACGGTGAACAAGTAATATAATTGAAATAATCGTGAATATTCATTGAAATATGATCTTCATTCATTGAGTGTATTTCTGTTTGAAAATCCCAATAGAGTGACGGTAATGTCCAGTGTTCACTACGAAATACATCGGTAAGAAAGTATCTTTATTACACAACCACTCAACAACGATGAGTTATTGTGGGAAATATTATATGAATAAATACTTTTCTCAACGAACATATAACCAAATAATTTTGAACCACTCAGTATGATATACTCTCAGAAATAATTCATTCAATTATTCGTGAGATCAATACTTATTCGACGTCAATGTAATACTGAACGTCGTACAGACGTTATTCTATTAATGAAAGTTTTGGTAGCGGTATGCAATTATGTACTGATAAAGTATATAATGAGACCACCAATCCAGCTGATTCAATTCGCACGATATAACTTTAATGCAAGCAATAAAAGTTTTGTTGAAAATTGTTTTTCTTTACATATAGAAGTATTCAACCAAGACTTTGTCTAAATACTACAAAATTTATTTGTGGTATTTCTCAAATGGCATTACAAGTACGTTAGCTACATTTCCAGAATTATTGACTAGATTGGTCGAATATCTCACAAATTCGGAAATTGCAATGAACTTTTGTTTTGTTTATATCAGTTTTTTTATATATTGTTCATATAATGGATTCACCCTATTGACGAATAACAGGGAATGAAGAAGGGTATTATCCCAATTGAAGGGGTTATATTTTTAGGAGTGATTAATTTTTGGGAAAGAAAGTTTTTGGATTTCTACTACTTTTTCAAATTGATTACTTTCTTCCTTTATTTGGAAGATTCCCTCATCCTTTTTTTTGTATCGAGATGGAGTGGTAGAAAGCCAAAAACTTTCTTTTCCAAAAAATGTATTATCTCATATTTGAACAGAAATGTATTTTCATCAGCTCCTCAGAAATAGATCGTACTCGCCCACCCGTTTCGAAGAAAATTATGGATGCTGGCGAAATAACAATGGACGTATATCAGAGAATGTAGTACAAAGTCAGCAACATTGACATATTCCACATTTCAAATCTTTCACGTTTAGAAATGAAGAGATTCAGCAAAAAATTGCTAATATAGGTAAATATATCAATTCTGAAGACGGAGGCAAACTTTACCAACCGAAACGTTGAAATAACTATCTGTTTTTTCATAGAAAAAATAATTAAATACGATAAGTTACTGATGAATATATTTCTTTTTGTAAATAACTTGGAAATAACTTAATAGTTTACCGGGGTGAACTAAAATGTTTGTCCTTTCTACATACGTATAAAGTTACCCATTATAGTCATTGTAATCATAAAAAAAGTCGATGAAAATCTCTGATTTTCTCCACAAGAAATGACTTCCTATCAATAGAAAACGTAAATGATCATTGTTTTTTTATTTTGACTTTTGATGTTTTAAAAAAACACAAAAAGGAATTATAGGTAAATTCTCATACTACACAACTTCTATTACATTATCAGAAAAATAGCCCAAAGTAGAGACTCTCTAAATTTGTAACTCATACCTCATTTTGTTCAAAAAATATTGACCATACTGAATTTTCAAAACGAACAACGTAAAGACCAACGTAACACAGAAAATTCTTTTCTTTTAT